TTCCTTTACTGATCAGAGCACGAGATTAAAATAAATGCTGCACACGTTATTCATGCAACCATGATTAATATTCATAACGTATTATACGAAGTTAGACGCTCTGTCTGTCAGCATAACCATACTAACGTTCGAAAAACTAGCGATACTTCATCCCATGACGCTTATTCCTATAAAATGTCATGTTTTTTTGTGAAGCCATACGTTTAATTAAGTTGCATTTAGATGCATGAGTATACATAAATGTGCTGTTTTATCTTAATTTTTTCTTTATTAATTTTTTCTCCCCTTTCTCAAAGAGGTAATTAGCATTACAATCGGAGAAGTTAAAAAAATCCCATTTTCAGTAGTGTGATATACTTTAATTTTTATTCGCAGAACGAGCAGAGATCAAGTGGACGTAGACCTGATTTATCCATTTGCCGAGCAAAACTAGGTCAAGATGACCCACATATGGGCTAAAAGTGCATCTCAATTTAAATAAAGCCTCACTCATGTGCCAGAGTGCAGCGACCATGTCACAGGTAGCTTAATGAAGCGAAAATTGTAGAAACTTTCTCATTTTATAGAATTGCCAGGAATTTTGGCACCTTAAAGAACGCAGTCAATCCGCACTCCTAGTGTAGCCGAGTTAAGTCAATCCGCACTTCTGGAGTAGCCGGGTTAAAGTCAATCCAACAGTTCAAATGAATCTTCTGGTGTATTTGAGGTTAAGTCAATGTTCTGCTGTTGCCGAGTTCAAGTCAATCCGCTCTTCTGGAATAGCGTAGTTTAAGTCACTCCTCCTGTTGTAGCCGAGTTCGAGTCAATCTTTCTGGTGTTACCGAGTACAAGTCAATCACCCTGCTTGGTGCAGCCGGGTTCAAGTCAATCCTCCTGGCGTGGCAGAGTTAAGGGCAATCTGATCAACTCGTGTTGCCGAGTTCAAGTTAGTCCTCCTGGTGTAGAGGAGTCCAAGTCAATCCTCCGGGTTGGCCGAGTTCTAGTCAATTTTCCTGATATAGCCGAGTTCAAGTCAATCCTCCGGATGACGCCGAGTTGAAGTCAATCTTCCTGGTGTTGCTGAGTCCAAGTCATTCCTCTAGGTGTAGCCGAGTTCAAGTTAATCCTCCTGGTGTCGACGAGTTCAAGTCAATCTTCCGTGTTTTTTCTAGTTGAAGTCAATCTTTCTGGTGTTGCCGAGTCCAAGTCAATTATCCTGCATGGTGCAGCGAAGTTCAAGTAAATCTCTGGGTGTATTCGAGTTCACAGAACGTTCCGAGGTGCGTGTATGGAGCTAAGCGGAATCTAATTCAGTCATTCCTCTCGAAAGACGCACTTGTTCTCCAGCATGGACAGCAATGGGTGTGTTTTGCACCGTAATTCTGAGCAGGTGAATTACAAAGCTCGCCAGGCTGCCGCCATTTGCATTGAAATGTTCCACTGTCATTTACAGGAAGCTTTACGAGGGCCATCTACTGGCAGCACAACTTTATCCTGAACTAAACAAACATATGGAGATTGAACGAAAAAAGCAATGCAGAGCTCAGAGTTATTTTACCATTTTAATTTAACTCATACTTACCATGAGTTAATTTTTTTCCATCAGAGCTGAGGACTTGATCTATTTTTCTACTCACAGAAGTTGTGCTCAAGGAGTACTGATAGATTGTTCTCACAGAACCAAGAACTCGAGAATTTGTTATACTCTAAGGACAGAGAACTTGAGATGTTGTCTGCCTCACAGAACCGAGGACTTGAAAGAAATTTTTCTAGAACTGAGGTATTAAGCAATTCTGCTCTCACAGAACTGTAGACTCGAGCAATTATTATAAAAAAATCTTCCCGGACGTTTTTCCCACATTATAAAAAAAGACGCTGCTTTTCTCATTAGTATATCCATCATGTGGAATCAAAATTATTTACATTTACTCAAGAAGTTTACTGAACAGTTTATTAACAGTTTACTAACAGTTTACTCAATAGTTTACTCAAAAGTTCACTCAAAATAAACTCGTGCAACGAAGATTTTACAGGAACTATTCTCTGCTTACGCGGAAAAATATGGGTATTTATGAAAAGTTGAGCAATTTTCCCGCATTTGAGTTTATTTTAGTTCCGTTTAACTGGTCTCAGTTTGGGGATGAGGTTGAAGGCTCGTGCTGCTTCAGGCTTGTGAATTCTTTAAAAAAAAAACTTTTGACTTCGAGTGCAATCCAATTTTCTGTTCTTCGGGTCAATCACCTGCTGATCCTTTGACATTTCAATTGAGTGAGTATCTGCAATGTCAATAAACGGCAAGAAAATTATTTAAAGTCAATAAAACGAAACCATGAGAGACAAAAATTGAAACTTGATCTATGTCGCCATCGCAGTAATTTTCTAAAAATATTGATTTTGTGATAAGGCTTTTTTGCGTAATTTTTTCCCGTCTAATTAATATCAACCGCCGGATAATTACAAAAGAAAAATGAATACATTCGTGTAAAAAAACTTGTTATACTCGCAAGCCCGGCACTGAAAACATAAGTGAAAATTACGAACAGAAATAAACATAAAATAATTAAAATAAACATGGAATGCAATCAGAGATATAAGTGAGACTTTGTTTATATTGCGATGCACATTTTGCTTGTGTGAGTCATCCTGACCCAGTTTAGCATGTTTCAGTACGTGCTATGTCCGTTCGGTTCTTAATTGCGTTGTGAGTAAGAAATTATCTTTATTTGTACAATATAACCCAAGCCTTTTCCTGAGTGCTTACTTCGCTTATCGGAGTCACCAAGCAAACTTCAAAGCTTCGTCTGCTGAATTTACCGAATAAAAAATCTGATCAAAATAGAATACGGGATTTCAATCGGAATATTTATTCTGTCCAGGCTGAGCTTCATTGTGGGTCGAAACGAGTCTGTGGGATTTGTCCATTGATTTTTGGCTCGGATAACCAAAGTGATTGCTGGTGCCGAGGCTGCCTCGATAAAAGTTATTGAATGATTGAAATATTTTAAAAGGAAAACTACTAAGAAGGTAGGAATTTCTATTGCGTTGCATGAACGAGCAAATTTGGAAGAAGATTTATCATGGTAGGATATATTTTAATGGAAGGATATAAGAATTTGGGAACACTGACATTGCCGGGGATTGGCTTTGGTGAGAAGCACTGCATTGCGCGAGGTCATACCGGACTGTGGTTTGCTATACCGTAGTTGTTAGCTTATAATTGTTGTTTATTACTGTTGATTCTATAATAAGCGAAGGATATTATATATTATTAAAAAATGCCGTTGTGACAGTATTCAAAAGGTTCTGTCATATACTTTTCTAAACGAAAAAGCGATGAGCTCATGGCATCCATTGACCCTAAATTTGGTCTATTTAGGGCAAAACGTAGTAGAAAATGTGGACTAGCATAAAATTGACAGATTTCATCACGATTTTATGGAAGGTTTTCATTTCAGCCACCAAACTGTTACACAAGAAGTACAAAACTCAATGAAGTTCGTCAACTAGGCGCAATAATTTTTGGACCGTGACACCGAATTGATGTTTGCATCATGTTTTCTAAATCATATCAAAAAATATCACGGGAGTTGGATCACAGAAAAACTAGATAATTTGTGCGATTCTCCTTTCCTGTTTACCTTACTGGATTGAAATATCATACCAGAATTTTTCTGTGATCTCCATCACTCACGTATCAGATACCGTCTCTAAGTACAAGACATTCGATCAAGCAGGGTGGCCCAGTGGTTACAGTTCAGAGCACCAAGATTGGCGCAGAGAGGCGAGGGTTCGATCCCAGCTCTGTGCGCCAGTTTCTGGTCAGAATCGGCGAGGATCGAGGCCGGGCGGTTAAGTACAACAGAATTTGAATCAGTGAGTTGCGAGTTCGAGACCGCAAAATGCTGTGAATGTTCTGCGATGCTAAGAATCGGCGACAGGCCTACGGCCTAATAAACGCTGAAACCGCCATTCTATTCTAAGTCTTGATAATCATTACCAGGACGTGCATGCGGTTACCAGCAACAGTGGCCTTACAATCAATTATTAAATTCCAGAAATTGCATTCCGCTGCTTCGGAGGAAGGCTACCGTAGTCCGCATGATAAATCTCACACAAGTCGCTGCGTGTGTCACGCATGCGTCTTTTGACACTTGAACGAAATTTACAGCAGTGAAAAATTACGTGTACGAATTTTTCTCCCTGCTTCAAATAGTTGCTAGTGACCATTGATTCCTGGACACGTTGATTTTTCACAATTACTATCTATACTCAATGTGCGGTAAAGGAAGGGCCAAAAAGTCGCCTAATCTTTCGTGCACGAGCTTGAGCCAGAATGAATTCGTAATGGGTAAATGAGTAAACTGTGCACTAGAATAATTTGCTAACGTTTTAATGTCACTTGCATTGCACCCGAGGCGGAATTATTGTTAACAGCAAAACTGTTATCATTTGGTTGAATGGCATGCAATTTACAAGGTAATCGCATCGGTAGAGGGGATTAAAACACAAGGTTGAGTGAAATTTCAGGATTTAGATCCTAAAATTTCTGACGAGACAGGAATCCAATAGAATATAATCAAAATACGAAACCAGAAGACTGGGATAGAAAATTTGTGAAAAAAATGAAATTTTTCTCAAAAAATTATATTAAAATTGTTTTAATAATATTGGTTATTCAGAAATCGGTTACATCAACGCAGCCTCACACCTGAGACAGAGCAGAACAAGAGTACGAGTATGACAAGCTGGGACCAAACGATCTGTAGAGGCTGATGAGAAAAGTTGTAACAGCCGAAAGCAAGTGTGAGTATGAATATTGATATATTTATGTCAGATTTACAATTATTGTGATTCTACCGAAAAATTCCATTTGAAAACTGTTAATCATTGAAGTTACGGAGTGAAAAACGATGGATTATATTAAAATGCTGCAATCCGATGTGCGTATGTTTCATAAAAAAGTATTTACTTCTCGTGAATATACTCTGCGTCAGGTTAAGTAGCTAGCAAGAGGTCTTGTAAACAATAATACATGGACACTTTAATCATATAGGTAATTGAAGATACAATATAGATTAAATGACAATAACATTAAAAGATACGAATTCCTAAACCAAGCGAGAACAGCGAGATCAGAATACATATTTTTTCGTCTTTGGAAACACTTAGAAAAGTTGCAATATGAATTAACGGATTCAAACTTCATTAGTAAATGATGCTTCTTGGAAATCATAGATGTTTCTGGAAATCGATAATCACTTCTTGACAAGAAATCTTAGGGAAAGAAAAAAAGTTCAAGGGTTCAATGCGACCATGTTTATAATATTGTTTTTAAATCTAATGCAGGAAGACTGGAAGGCACAAGAACGCAGACACAAAAGCCCGCCACTTAAAACTAAGGCACAAATCTTACGTGTACGTATCAGGCCCGAGACTACGATACAAAAATACGTATCGCGTACGATACAGTGATTACAATCGCTTACGATACAATAATTTGAATCGCTTACGATACAGTAACTCGAATCGCGTGCGATACAGTGATTAAAATCGCGTACGATACAGTGATTGAAATCGCGTACGATACAGTGATTAAAATCACGTTCGAAACAGTGATTAAAATCAAGTACGATACAGTGATTAATATCGCGTACGATACAGTGATTAAAATCGCGTACGATACAGTGATTACGATCGCGTACGATACAGAGATTAAAATCGCGTACGATACAGTGATTACGATCGCGTACGATACAGAGATTAAAATCGCGTACGATACAGTGATTACGATCGCGTACGATACAGTGACTACAATCCCATACGATACAGTGATTAAAATCGCGTACGATACAGTGATTAAAATCAAGTACGATACAGTGATTAAAATCAAGTTCGATACAGTGATTAAAATCAAGTTCGATACAGTGATTAAAATCACGTTCGAAACAGTTATTAAAATCAAGTACGATACAGTGATTGAAATCGCGTACGATACAGTGATTAAAATCACGTTCGAAACAGTGATTAAAATCAAGTACGATACAGTGATTGAAATCGCGTACGATGCGACAATTCAGATCGCGGAGAGTTGCCAGGGTAACAAGCAGCAGAAAATAATTAAATTATTGAAAGTTGATTATAATAGATGATGATTTGACGGAATAATCTGAACCCATCAGGTACTCCCACTCGTAATGATTGAGGTCTTGTAATCGGTACACAATTGGCAACAATTATCTAGGAGACAGTAGAGCAAAAATCCAACTCTTCGAATGTATTAGAAAAATATATACAAGAAATACACGTTTCCCAATAAAAGATTTGAGTTCCTACATATACATAATACCGAGAATGTTGATTATACAGCAAGACGTTTACACGTGTTCAATGGCTTCAACCTACGAGGAATGTAAGATTGTATTAAATGCATTTCATCAACACGATTCTTTTTGTCTTTGATATAAAAATTCAGCAAATTCTGGACCGGCAACTTTTCAAGGCCACAAAATGCAAGTTATAGTAACGTTCGTTTCAGAGTAGTGCAAATGCATAGGAATGTCATACTCACAACCAATATTTGGACCCTAATCAAGATTATATTTTACAATCACAGAACCCAGATATAAACATATTTCTCTTGAACAGCTATTTTAACATACAATAACACTTTAAACGTCGTCGAAAGGCACATTATTACGGATGGCAAGGTGAGCAGATTATAAATGTTTACATGTACACATTTGTAGCAGCAATATCAAATTTTGACATAGTTTGAAGGAGTTCGTATATTTAGGGTGCAGCTCTTCATAAGGAAAAGTTAGATTAATAAGAATGCCATTTTTTCAATTTGAAGGAATATCTACACTCGTCCTTATTAAAGATTGAGGTTACAGTCGCAAACCGCTGCTTCTACCTAAACTAAGTCCACGATCAGGCAAGAGGAACGAAGCTCTAAAAACCTTATTCATGCATGTAAGTGAAATAATTTCAGGCGCGCATATAATATGAAATCACAAAGCTACTTATTTCAGTCTTAGTACTGCGGATAGAATCTGCAAAAACTAACTTTACATTCATAAGGTTACTAAGGTCACGGTAGATGAATAAAAATCCCACAAAGCACTGCCAAGCCTTCCATGATACAAAATAAATTCAAAAACGTACGGTAAGTTCAATGGACAATTCATTAATTCATTTCTATTGATTGGATACAAAATATTAATGCAGTGCAATGTTCATATTTAGGCGCACGATAAAAAATCCCTGATTGATTCACTAGCATTAAATGCATTTATACTTTATGTAATCAATCAATTATACATGGTACTTTGATGAAATAATTTTCGCCTTAATTGCCTAGAGACAAAAATCATCCGAGCGGGACTGATGTCGATAAATCAGGAGGCAATCCATAATTACAACGTAATTTTTTCATTAACAATATTAAAATAGAAGTTAATGTCATTAAAATCAACAAATACATTGATAGCCCCCAGCTGTCCATTAGCTGCACGCTGCTGTCTCCTAGCTTCTGTGTTTTGATATGCTATAGGTAGCTGCCTCAAGCATTGTTTATTGACATTTCTCAACAACCAACAAATTTCATATTGAGGTTTGATGCAAAAATTACTAAATTCAGACAATAGATACCTTCGCGATCAACGATCATGTGCCTGAAGTAACAAAAACGGTGAGATAACAAACCAATTGACTGAAAATTTTACCCACAAAACTCAAAACATTAGTACAGATACTACGAGAAATCAATTTTGATGAGAGCAACAGTGAGTTAATTATCAAATTTCATATTTATTTCAAATTTTATACTTTTCAAATACTTATTTCGCCATTGGGATGAGAGCAGCCTGCATTCAGCAGATGAAAATCTTGAAAACAGAGTAATTTTCTTGTACAGATTTGATTAACTCATTCAATATGATTAATTGATGCTAAACTGATTATTCAGGCTTAACTGAAAACTGTTGGACGTTAGACTGAAGATTGATAACAACAGTTAAAAACTGAGAAATTTAGGACTTATCATTCTTTCCATCTTCATGTGGCAGTTGCCTTTCACATATCTCAAAACAATGGAACGGGTAATAATATCTTAGGAATCTTTCAAAGGTCTAAGAAGAAATACAAGTAAAAACATTGATAAAATCTGTTAAGTGAAGCCCTTATTGTCAAAATGAAAACAATTCAATCATTGAATGCCAGCCCTGATGCCTAGTCTAGGTAAAGGAAAGGGGTTATCAAGATCAGCAAATTACGTAAGTACAAATTATTTTGATAAAGAGCACAATAAGGCATCTGATCATCAAAGGTGAAACAGAATGTCAGCTTGCTACGTTAGCGCAGTGCTTTGGTTGTGGCATTATCGACAGATATTAATATGATGCAGTGATTCTTCTAAGCATTAGCAGCATTATATAATCAAAGCAGTTGCAAAAGTATCGCTAAAGGACAGTAGACATTAGAAAAGTTCTTTGTTACACGAGTTAAAAGAAAACACAAGATTGCTAAAAAGATGCTGTGAAGCTCTGACAACATTACTCAACAATCATGATAAACATAAGGCTCACATTCAGCATACTATAACGCCAGCTTCATCTACAAATGAAGCACACCTTCGTCAGACTTGGCATCACCAGAATTTTGTGTGACGTTGCCTTTAAGCGACATTCCTTGAGTCAAGTCTTTAATTTCATCAACGTCATATGCATCGTCGTCAGAGTTGTTTTGCTGCGAGCTCTGTGACAGGTGGGATGCTCTGGAGAGCTGAGAGCCGGCAGACGATACACCAGAGTTGCGGGAGAAGGAACCCCTGCGAGGGTGTTGGCTGAGAGTGTGTTGATTGGCAGGCTTCACAGTGATGATCAGGTTGCTGCTATTGGCTACCATCATGTCCGTCACCTGAAAAATTGTTGATGTTTAAAAACAATTGGGGAAAACATTGGAGGACGCGAAATTTAATGAAACTTATCTAAGATTCTGTAATAAAAAAGAGCAAATTAGTTAAAATATCTTTGAATTCATCAGTTCACATCTTGTCATATTATAGTGGAATTTTTTTCAAAAACTATAGGTACCTTAGTATTGCTACTCACCTGATCAAGGGTTTTGCCATTGACTTCTATGCCGTTCACCTCCAAGACTTCATCATTCACAGCCAAGAGACCCGTACTCTCAGCCAGGCCCCCGGGAACAAGCCGGGAAATAAATATACCAGGGACTCGCTCCAGTCCCTGAGCTGTTACCCGCACGGACGTGCCATCACGAATGTAAAATCCAAGAGGCTTATCACTGCCATGCTTCAGCAGGCGCACTCTCCGGCACACTTCAGGCACAACATCTACATCAATGATGGCTGCAACCTGCCAGGAGTAACGAGGCTTAGCAGAAACAATTTTCAGTCCTGAGAGTATGTGAACACTGAACAGACAATTATAATTCATGCAAAATTTTAACAAGATAATAATGAAAAAGTCTGTATACTTACAATTTCAGACATTATTGAATAAAACTCTACTGCAACACTGACATTGCTACCAACCTACTGGTAATTATAGAGCAAGAATAGCACATACAAGCATATCTAAAGAATAGGCCAAAAAAGCTACATTGCCAAGCAGCAAAAGCTGTTCAATTACCAGTATTCAAAAATGAGGTAATTTTTACTTACTGATGATATAAATAATACTCCTGTAGAGATTGCCTATCCTTCTTGCAAAAATTGAACTGGTATAGACTTCATCAATATGGAGATAAATGGAAATAAGTGACTAGGTATATATACCTGATCTAAAATCATCACTTTCATCAATTAAATCAGCTAATTTTGCAAAGTAAAAATTAGGAAACATGCAGAGTGTTGACATACTTGTCTGAAGTCTTGAGGATAAGATATCTGCAACCTGTTCTTGCTCTGTGTTCCACCAAACGGAGATAAAAGACTCAACTTGGAGTTGGATCCATTTGGAAGTGAATCCAAGCTCTCCCCTGGTGAGCAAACAAGCCAATATGTCCCAATAAAAAATCAGTTAAGTTGTTCACAATTTGCTATCAAATTCAGTTGGGCGGCTCCTGAATCACATTCCTAAAATTGTGGTGAAAAAAAAAATCACAACAAATTTTAAATATTTTAGTGTCTAGAAGGCATGACTGCTCTTGCCACAAAAAGGCATGGTATCAGAAAAATTCTGTACCAAATTGTGTATGATTTGATCTAAAGTAAAATAATGAATTTATTTCTCACATTTTCTATGCAATATGAATTTAATCCAAATTTTAAGAATAATTATTTAGTTACATGCAGATGTTAAATGAAATTTCATAATAGATATATGAATTGAACTTAATAGCATGAGAAATTTCCCTTATCCTCACCCTTTCTTTGCACACTAATACGCAGTAGTGTCCGCCTAATCTGAAGAGCTTTTCTGAAGTTGTCATCATTGCTGAGTGGCAGAAGATCTCCATCTCCAGGGTCTGTATATGACAGAACAATTCCTGCATTCTTCGGAAGGCAGTGAATGCTTTCCACTAAATCTCTGAAGCTATCAAGAGTGTCAAATTTATTCCTCTCTATGCTGAAGCGTCGGAACTCTGCATCAAACTGTAAAAGGAAAATCAGTATTAAAAATGCAAGAGAAAATTTCATGCTGCTTCCATTTCATTATTTACAAATATAGAGGAATAGTTATTTTTTAATGTAGCCAAAATTTTTTCTATTCGTGTTGCAACTTATAACTGAAAAAAATTCATTCAATGCCAGTAGAGTGAGAATATTCAATATGAAATCTTTTTATCAACCTAAAGTAGGTATGTGTACAAGAACAGAAACCATGTGCCCATAACATATACCTATATGTTATCAATTTACAGAGGTATGTATGTTCAACAGTTGCATGTTATGTTCTGTGTTCACATGGTAATTATAACTCAGGGCTGACTTTTTACTGGCATAGTATGGCTCAAAATCACTTATCATCAAACAGGGTAATAAGGGACGGTTTTAAGTGTTTTTGTTAATAACTTCTTACCATGAAATACCGTAAAATGGGGTAACTTAGACCGGCGGGGTAACTTAGACCACTTTTCGATTTTTTTACAAAAACCCCCACAACTCAAAAACTATTTGACATAGAAAAATTTTGTCAATGGGCATTAAAGGCCTAATACTGAGGCTACATAACACAATTAATAATTGATTTTACCATCCGGTCTAAGTTACCCCAAGAGCTGGGGTAACAAAGACCATCACTTTTTTTGAAATTACATAAAGACTATGAGAGGCAGGAGCCAGCAATTTATGGTGAGTAAAGCTCGAGTATAGACCTGTATTTTACATGTTTCAATTCAAGTTTAATTTAGCTAGTAAGAAAATGGCATCATTTATAAGAAAAAAAGTGGTCTAAGTTACCCCATTTTACGGTATTTCATTAATAAGTTTGGGCTCATTTTAAAGCTCTTTGTGAGGGCTATCATATGGCATCTTCAAAAAATTTATATGCATTTGTAAAGTGCCACACCCAAAATAAAAGCATCCCAAATTACCCCTTTAAATGAGGTAATGCAGGACACTTGAAATTAAACTCAATTTTTAAACGTTTGAAGCATGCAAAGTGCACTCATCCATTACTAACAGTACTCTGAAGTCCTCCACTTCCATTGTAGATGATGTAGATGTAAAATAACTGACATTTTCTGTGATTTTTTGGTACTCATTTTTCCTATATTGATATGACATGTTATAAAGGGTGAACCAGAATTACCTTACCCTTTTAATTTGTTAATAAATAAAAAACTACTAACGTTATGAAGTTGAAACTTGTTTTATTTAAAAGAAGAAAATTTTTATGGTAATATAATTACTTGGAATAAAACTTCCTTTTAAAACTTCCTAAAATGACACTTGATATAAAACTTCATTTTAAAACATTTGAAGCCTGTAGAGCGTACTCATCTATTACTAACAGTACTCTGAAGTCCTCTTCTTTCATTGTAGATGATGTAGAGGTAGAATAAATGAGAGAACCATATACATTACCGGTAATTACCGTATTATTGATGCGATAATACCGTATTATTGACGCAATATTACCGTATCCATGAACATTCCATTGAGCATTTACAACAACCTTGTCCACTACAAGCTTCATATTAGCAGCCTTATAGCATTTTTTCTGTATCTGTAAGCTTACAGGATGGCTTGTCATTTCACACCATTTTAATTGGGTAAAGTGAATTTACTATAAAAAAAGATTGTGAAAAACATACCTGAAACAGAAAGGAATTTTTCAGTGACAACCAACATATGATTTGGAGAAATAAATCTTAGTTTAGGTCAATTACTTTTCATTCTATGATGCCTGGTGCACAATTCTATATATGACATTCTATGCACAATTTTGTGATGACCGATGATGCACTAATTTTTCGATAAGTGAATTTTTTTTGCTGAGCAAGGTAAATGTAATCAATATTCTTTGTTCTTAATCAATTTTTTTCTTAACTGGAGCCTTTGCTGAGGTTCTACTGTAAATGTGTTTTTGGGGGTGTCCCGAGTAGCCCCAGGGGGAGTGTCCCAAGTAGCCCCGCCGTGTGGAAATGGCTGCCATTTTTTTGGATTGTGGTACCGTAAACTGGGGTAACTTAGACCACTTTTCGTTTTTTTAACAAAAACCCCCAAAACTCAAAAACTATTTGACATAGAAAAATTCTGTCAATGGGCATTAAAGGCCTAATACTGAGGCTACGTAACACAATAGAAAGATTTAAAAAGTTTGCACATCTAATAGGTTAAAAAATTAAAAATGTGACCCACGAAAAAAAGCTATTATTTGAAGCCTGTCAGAGTACCCCCTCCAATTTTTTTATTTTTTGACAAAATAACTCCAGGTTTCGATGCATTGTAGTACAACTCTTCTAGTTACATATGCACTTAACAAATTTTAGGAAAGTCTCATAGTTTGCAAATGGGGGGTGCCGCCCCCCAATGGGGGAACTTAGACCACCTGGGGGGCGAGACCCCCATTTGCAAACTATGAAACTTTCCTCAAATTTGTCATTTGCATAAGTAACTAGAAGAGTTCTACTACAATGCACCAAAACCTGGAGTTATTTGGAGTTATTTTACCAAAAAATATAATTGATTTTACCACCCGGTCTAAGATACCCCAAGAGCTGGGGTAACAAAGACCATCACTTTTTTTTAAATTACATCAAAACTATGAGAGGCAGGAGCCAGCAATTTATGGTGAGTGAAGCTAGAGTATAGACCTGTATTTTGCATGTTTCAATTTAAGTTTAACTTATCTAGTAAAAAAATGGCATCATTAAAAAAAAAAAGTGGTCTAAGTTACCCCAGTTTACGGTATGCAAATTCCACAAATAAAATTTTCATGCTGACACTTGTCCGCCACTTTTTTCTAAGCAAAATTTTTAATACGTCAAATATTTTTTTTACTACAGACCTTAACAGAAGAAACTTCAAAATTTTGTTTTTTCACCATTTTTTTCAGGAATTTTTCAAAGCTAGTAAATGTAGTATTTTCAAACCTCCTTTATACTACATAGATAGGAAAAATTTTGACGTTTACGCCACTATATTTAGTTTTGCAATATTCCAATTAGTTTTGCTACTAAAACAGTTTTACGCCGTGTCATAGGACTGTCCCAAGTTACCCTGCACATCCCGAGTAGCCCCGGTTGACCGTACTCTCAAAACACTACACTATGCGCCAGCCAGGGTTGGCGATTTTCTTGATTTAAAAAAAAAAAAATAATAAAAATCAAAAATCAATGATTTTTTCATGCTTTTTTTTATTTATTTGATTTTTTCAGTTTTTTTTGTCTTTTTTGAGGTGTTATTTTTTATGTTGCAATTAGCCAACTAACAATAACAGTATATGGATCATAATGGATGGCTAAAAAGGGCACTTTAAAGCTAGAGTATAGACCTGTATTTTGCATGTTTCAATTTAAGTTTAACTTATCTAGTAAAAAAATGGCATCATTTTGAAAAAAAGGGGTCAAATTTACCCCAGTTAACGGTATAGTCCATTTACGCGCATTGTTATTAGGTACCTATTGATTGTGTCAATTTTGTTGGCCGGGAGGATGTCAGGAATGTAGTCCCAACATTGTCATGCAGGTTTGTACTGTTGACGTACAGGTTCATACCTTACTTGCCGCAACCAGTCCAGACTCCAGTCATTCATTAGAAGGCACCGATGGCACATCTAAAGCCATGTTGCCTTCTTTAATTTGGTAATTCATGTCCGATTGAATTGTGATCTATTTTATTAATTTTCTTTTTGTTGGAATGGTGAGTGTGGGAGGCCTTAAAAAAAATCAATGAGTGAATATTCATAACTGTGCTGACACTTAGAACCTGAGTTGACGCATTAGCAAATCTAGTTAACTCATATCCAACCACAACGCAATGCGGATACACGTTTGTGTGTACGCTGTACGGTCAGTGTGAATATGATAGCGTAATTTGCGTTGCCGCGCGTCCTTATTTAAACTATTTTAGCTTTCTAAAAGTACGGCGCATGCCGCGCGGCGGATTTTTTTACCGGCATAGTATGGCGCACCGCGCAGGTCGTTGAAATGACAAAATAAATTCCCGCGCACCTGGCACATCTTCCTGAACATGGTAATGTAGGATGATGCTTCATGCTGGTATCCATGATAATTTGCTGGTCTACTTATTATACATACCGGTAGTGACAAACCAGAGATTTTTTAGAATCAGTTCATTTTTGATTTCCTTATTTACTCAAGATTTAAACCAATTTCTTATGTATTATAATGCTGGTACTGTAAACTGGGGTAACTTAGACCACTTTTTTTTTTTAAATGATGCAATTTTTTTACTAGATAAGTTAAACTTAAATTGAAACATGCAAAATACAGGTCTATACTCTAGCTTCACTTCAAACATGAAATGTTATATATGGTAATTTTAAATTAATTTCCAAGCCGGTCTATGTTACCCCATTAGGGCTGACATTAGGTGGTCTAAGTTCCCCCATTGGGGGGCGGCGCCCCCCCATTTGCAAACTATGAGACTTTCCTAAAATTTGTTTGTTGCATATGTAACTAGAAGAGTTGTACTACAATGCATCAAAACCTGGAGTTATTTTGCCAAAAAATAAAAAAATTGGAGGGGGTATACTCCGACAGGCTTTGAATAATAGCTTTTTTTCGTGGGTCACATTTTTAATTTTTTAACCTATTAGATATGCAAACTTTTTAAATCTTTCTATTGTGTTACGTAGACTCAGTATTAGGCCTTTAATGCCCATTGACGAAATTTTTCTATGTCAAATAGTTTTTGAGTTTTAGGGGTTTTTGTTAAAAAATGAAGTGTTCTAAGTTACCCCGGGAGTCTAAGTTACCCCGGGAGACTGGGAGTCTAAGTTACCCCAGTTTACGGTATCCATGATACGGTACTTTGCTTGTCTACTTATAGAACTCAAAAATGAACTTGAGGGAGTCTGGGAGAGTCTAAAAAACTCTCTGCTTTGCCACTATGCAGGTATAAGACTTCAAATTTAACTTGAAGGAGTGGCTAAAGATCTCCCTGCTTTGCCAGTGAGTCGGGGCAGGCGGCCCATAGTGACAAACCAGAGATTTTTTTAGAATCAGTTCATTTTTAATTTCCTCATTAGGTACCTACTCAAGATTTAAACTACTTTTTTATGTTGGGTAAACGCGGTATATTCCGACATCATAGGTAATTCCGTCACCTCTCCAGCTTTTCCTTTATATTAAGCTTTGTTTTTTAGTTCCATGCGTTTGTTGATGGTTGAAATGGTGACGTCATGCATTTGCGAGTCAAAATACTGCCAAAACAGAAAACACTAGGTCTTGGCCATCTAGTGGGAAAATATTGAGATCCAAAGAGAGACAATGCATGCCACTGAACTGACAATAATAAAATGTAAGACATGTCCGGGTTACTTCTGACTCTTCCGCTTGTCCGCCTTGTTGGATACGGAACGTACGGTAATCGTAAACTGCAGCTGTTCTACATACAAAATGTAATCAGACAGTGTTCAGTGTTGCCATATGACTTTGGAGAAAATTTCTTCAAAATAAAGTTCTAGATTTCTCATTCACCAAATTTCCGTATCAAGAAAAATCATATATTATTGAAAGATAATTAAAATCATACTGTACTGAGTAATGTGAGTATTATGTCTGTTCCTCCACAAACTGCTCATGCGCACTGCGCGGCAGCGCGATGTAGAATTGATGGCCGGGATTGCGCGAACACGTGCATGAAGAGAATCAATTTTCATTACATTGCGCCAATTGTGCACAGCAATAGCTTAAAAAATGTGAAAATGCACGGGAAAATTCATCGAAAACATACATCATCCTGAGTGTGGCCACCATAGTGGCAAAGCAGAGAGTTTTTTAGACTCTCCCTCAAGTTCATTTTTGAGTCCTATAAGTAGACCAGTAAAGTATCATGGATACCAGCATTATCTTACATAAGAAATTGGTTCAAGTCTTGAGTAAATGAGGAAATTAAAAATGAACTGATTCTAAAAAATCTCTGGTTTGTCACTATGTTTGCCACTATGATTTATAAAATAAAATTGCCACTACTATTATATGTAACAAATATTAGTTGTTGATCATTGAAATTAGAGCTAGCAGTTACATAGAAGAAATAGGCTATCATATGATAATTAAAAATTATTTATTATTTTACTGAAAATTCCATTAATAGTCAACTTTCTTACCTTACTCTTTACTTCCAAAAGAGTACTTGGGATTAGCTTGGCATTAGCTGTAGTTTTAGAACTGCGAGACATTTTTCTGGATAGCTAAATAAAAAAAATGACAAATATTTATCTTTTCAGTTAACTGAAGATCCACCGGTCCGGTCAACTTACAAACTGATTGGTTTTGAACCAATTCCTAATTTTACCTACTAAGAATAAAAGATTTAAAGTAGGAACCTCTCACTCTCAGGGCTCAGTTTCGAATTTATGCCTTCAAATAAAACACATGTTCTGACCAAAAAATTACTACAATTAAAAATCTGGCAACTCATCTCTCCTGAAACGGAAAGTTTATACTCAACAAAATATTTATATAGTCATTTGTTAGTAAGCTAAGAGCAATATTTTCGTTGATACCTAACACTCGATGTTTAGATAATTACTGTAGAAATCTGCTATGACAACTTACCCTGTCATATCAGATATATACCCTAAAACCTGGAAGTGACTAGCGGTCCAAGCTTCGGAGAGCGTGTGCGACTCTCTATCGTCTCCACAAAATTATTCTCGCGAAATTAATACTCGGGACATTTTAAAAGTTTGACATCGTAGGCATAAATATTCGTATTCATAATCTTCTATCACGTCTACTGATTGAATTGGCGACCGACGGTGTGTTCAGGCGTCACCAATTAAAAATGTCAGACAAGTCCTTGCTCTATCCTCATTGTGTTGAAAGTACATTTTTAAACGATGGATGAACTAAACGGTACCCGATTCAATCCAAAACCATCGCCGGAACGTTTAGGAAAATTCAACATACGCAGGGTAGCTGAGCCCTCGAAATCGCAGATTTGAGAGCGAGTAATGGATTCTGTTTTTCAGCTACAACGTAAAAAAACACAGCGATGTCTCGAATCGGCGTGAGTCGGATCAAGTGAGGAGCAACATGGAATTGGAATTGGGGTGCGTGGTGACGTACGGTCACGACCTTTAAATCGGTCATACACGCTGCCTAAAAAACATTTACTAGCATCAAAAAAATTAAAAGTTCACACTCTTATGTTAACAAAAAAGTTCAAATATACCATATTCACAGCTGTCATAAGAAAAAATATAAAAATTTGACAATCGCAAAAAATTAAAACCACGTACTAAAACAATTCGGCAAAAAAATTTGAAATTTGATCTCGGCTATTTACAGACGGATCACTTTGAAACTTGGAACACATGTGTAAAACAGAAAAATATAAATGTTTTGTTCATGTCAATTTTTCGAAAAAATGAAAGAAAACGTGAAATCCTTAGAAAACGGCCAAAAAAGAGGGTACTGTAGAATCTATCTCCTCCTGGGATTTTCAAGCTACAACATCGAGACAAATTTCATTCGATGCGTAAAGAATTTATTCGAATTTACTGTATGTGGGTGAGGGGGCACTTTTCGTAAATTTTTCGATTTCTCCTCCCTCCCCTGGCCCTCCCCCTTTTTCAAAATATTTTCAAAACTATAACGGAATTTTAAAAACTGCAACCATCCTCTAGATCTTTTATTTGCAAATCTAATGGTATATCTCACAATTCTGTAGCTTCAAAACTGTAGGAGGTGAACGTTCCCCAGTGACAATAAGTGCGCGACGCGCTATGTAAAGGCATTTATGGAGCTAGGTTATCAGGCAAGGCGTTACTTGAGCTCGAATTCACTCACAGATGCAGAGAACGACTGCATGAGCACCTTCTCGCATGACAGCTAGTAGGTGACGATACAGACGTTACTCTTATGTGCCTGGCTAATTTCCTCCGTAAGAAAATGTTAAAGAGTTCCACGACCCCTAACTTCGCGATCTGTCGTGAACGCATAAATCAACGTACAGAGATGGTTTTGGTACCGTTGGATAGGTCAGAATGTCAGGTTTAAGATGAGCATAAAAACAGGAAAAGTCGAAATTGTCGATTTTTGCACTAGACGCTCCCCTCAAAGATTCCGCTGCACTCTCATCTGAAACTTATTTGAAACTTGATGCCTCTGGCTCTTGTCAATGTATTTTGTATGGCTTTCCTAAAATTTATAAGCCAGATTGTGCTTCGAAATTTCAGTTTGGCCCCATTTCTGCTGCTTACAAAACCCCGAGTTTCAAGCTTGATAAATTTTTGGTCCCGATGTTGAACTGATTGACAACCAACCAATATACGGTATAGAGACAATTCTTACGTTTTCGTAGACCGCTTGAAGAGTTTCACGAATATTCAGGATTTAACTATGGCTTCATTTTATGTAGAGAATATGTTTACAAATGAGATAACTATTGATAACTAACTACTCCATGAAACTATTGACATTTGCCTTAATTCATTGTTCAAAGAGATTAATGACATTCTCTTTGGTTTGAACCGCAAATTTTTTAAATATCTTCTTGTTGAATTGTCTGTTTTAGACACTTGTTTTGTATTTGTCGGCAAATTTTTCAGACATTTTGACGGCTTGGATATGGGTCTCCCACTCGGTCCTATTTTGCAAGTATTTTCAGGTGTTACTTTCCTCTTAATTTAAAGCCTGTTTTCTATAACCGATATGTCGATGATACTTTCTTACTTTTCAAGCATCCCTCGCATGTGGGCATTTTCTTTAATTATCTTAATCTCCAATATTAGTCAATAAAATTCACTATGGAGCTTGAAACCAACAATAGTTTATCTTTTCTCGATTGCAATGTTACAAAAACTAATGGCTGTTTCCGGACCTCTGTCTACCGAAAGTCAACGTTTACCGGTTGAAGCTCCAGCTTTCTTATTATTTGCTCATTTCATTTCAAATTTTATCGGATTAAAACATTAATAAATCGTGTCTTCCATATTTGCTCAATTTTCAATGCTATGCACACTGAATTTGAATTTTTGCGCATCTTTTCATTAAATTGGTTTCCGTCGCATTTGGTTTATACTCAAATTAAGAAATTAATGTCTAGGCAATATAATGAAGTAATTACCGACCGATTGTGAGAGTAAGAACCTAATTAATTGTTCTCTTTCCCTACTTCGGTTATGCATCTGAGACTATGGCTAAGAAATTGAAAGTTTTGTTCAACAAACACATTCCGAATATTAATCTGCAAGTGGTGTTGGTGAATAACTTGTAAAATCGGCTCGTTCTTCAGGTATTAAGATACTCTCCCTCTTTTTATGCGATTGCGATTTAACTTTTTTTTGATTAACTTGCGATTTAAGCAATCAAGTGATTTGAATACATGAATAATCCTGCTGATGGTTATCCAATAACTATGATTATAAAAAGAAATCTCATTGAACGATATTTGGTTTACAATTTTCAAAGATCTACATTATAAGTGTTAGAATTAATCCATGGTAAACGTAGAGTTTCTTGGGTTAGTGCGCCGCGTGAACGATGGCTGCAGACTTGACGGCACTGCAACTAGAACGTTAATGAGCATCGCTGTCTCAATTGCCTCGCAAAACCCAATCCATTTTTGATCAATCATGATTGACAATTCATTTAATTTTGATAATAAGACTAGAGCGATTGGATAATTATAATACATATTTTAACGAGCGCTGGTAAAACAATATTGAGGAAAACAAGTAAAGATTCTAAACGTCAATATGTTGCATCAATTGCAAGTTTCTTTCAAAAATGAACCTGCGCTGCTGAGAATCTGGAATTTCATGAAATGGTGTCCCATAAATCGAAATAGAAGCATTCGAGTGGTAACAAAAATTACTTATTTCTCGATCAAATTTATCAGAAAAAGCCTAAGTCCAGATAATTTAAAAACTACATTTTTTAAGAAACCGATGTTGAGAATTTTTTCAAATAGCACCGGAACATAACAACATAACAATAAACTAAAACACGATTCATTTAAAAATCATGGAACATAAGCATCATGTTGGCCATAAAGATGAGATTGAATCAGGGCCACACAAAGTTAGAAACAGTGAAATAACAAGAATTTAGGTTAAAATATCAGGAAAAACTTTGAACTAAAGATTTTAGACGGCGTCAGCTGTCGGAAGTTGACCGGGACGCTGCAGGAGTCTGGGGGCGGAGGTCATGATGGCGATGGCCCCGATGGGCACCGAGATCAAGATCACCAGCACCGCGATGGTCAGTACCTGGAATACAGAGAGAAAACGCATCCTACATCCTGGAGTTTATCTGTGATATTTGTTGATGTCATTAATATTGTCATTTCAATTGTTTACATACAGTTGTTTATATAATCTCCAATGTCTGCTGATAATTAATAATTATCCTAGAGTAAAATTGCCCTATTATCTAACATTAAGAATGAAATTCCTGGACGATATGAAGCTATAGCGGGATAAATATGCTACATGTACGTTATTACGAGTCTCAGTCAGCGGGCATAAGTGTACATACAGGGTTATATGTGTAAGGGGCTCAAATGTATATTTCACCAGTCGAGAAGTGACAGTAACTCGAACCAGAGTAGAGGATAATTTGCGACATCGCATCAATTGTTCTCAGTACAACAGAGATTAAGAGTGAAACTAAGAAAAGCAAACAGACTTCATTACAGTTTTACAAATCAGCAATAATTTACATTGTGAACGACTCGTGACAGTAAAGATGATAGCCGCAGCTACCGACAAATGTTCCGTACATCCCAATAGAGATGAGTTTCAATACTACTCATCTTTATATATAATACTACTGAAGTATACTACTTATACTTCAATACTACTCATCTTTTTTAGTCACAATCGGAGAAGTACGGCGACTTAAACTAACAGCGCAGCCAAAAGTTGCCCCGCTTCAATGCTATATACAAGCTCATTGAAATTCGTTTATTTGCACCATTTAAAAGGTCTTGCTATTGCAACGTCGAACTCTGATAGCACCTTTAACGGCCCATTGGTGCAAAATCGAAGCTCAGTATCTGTCATCTCTTCTAATAGTGCGGTCTGTATATCTGCAGCGTAATTAATCAAACCAGATCTATATAGCAAATATGGTTTTCAGGAAATAGAATTGGTTTCAAGGGGACAGCTTTTTTCACTGGCTGTTCTTCAATTTCCGCAGGAAGCAGCCTGAGGCCAATTCCGTTACAGCTGCTCGACGCAAGCAGGTTTTCTTGGCCTTACTTCAAGCGTGATTGGAGACACCAAAAGTCTAAGGCGCTAGACCTACTTGTTCGGGATATGTAGTGGCTCATAGCGGTTTCAGCGTTTATTAGACCATAGGCCTGTCGCCGATTCTTAACAACGCAAAACATTCACAGCCTGTTGTGGTCTCGAACGCACAACTCACTGCCATTTGCCGATTCTGACCAGAAACTGGTGCACAGAGCTGGGATCGAACCCGCACCTCTTTGCTCCAATCAAGATACCTTGAAATTGTAAACACTAGATGGGCCGCCCTGCTACAATATCTATTATCATAAGACGGATCAGTAAATACCTGACAAACACATCAGTTAAGGAAAAGTTTCTCAACAAAATTACGTCAGCAAAAGGTGCACACAAGGCAGCAGCACAACAAAAGGTCCTAAATTTTGCACCACGAGAATCATTTATCAACTAATTTCTCTAGCTTTCTTACTTTCTCATAGAGAAACACAAGCTTCTTTCATTACACCTCACATGAGACCTGCAGCAAGTTCTTCTCAATGATGCGGCATGGAAGGCTGACATATGCATTCTATTTCATAATCGCTGCAATAATTTTATGAAATTCGCTGTTTTGCAAATTTATTGTGATAATCTTTGTAAACAATTAATTCATTGTGTTTTAGGATAAGAACCTGGACAGTAGCTTTTTGTAGCCAGGCGAGGGCGACGAAGAATCGCTCCCTGATGTTCAGGCCGCTGCCGAGCACCACGAAGAAGGTCGTCACCACGCGACACGTCAGGCTGATGCACAGCGTCGCCACCCCCAGCCCTATGGTGTCCAGCTATGGGGTTTGTTAGCTGCATCACACTGTTGGGAGTCGTTCTCGGAAGTTTCCAACAGCACGTTCACACATATGGCGAGGTATGGGCCGTATGGCCATAACCTCTGCTGCAATAATCTGTTCCCTTAGCTGTGGTAGGGTGTGAGGATGACTTCTGAACCCCTTTCTTTTAGATGTCCCCAAAGAAAGAAATCGCAAATGCTCAAATCAGGTGACTTCGCAGGCCACTGTAAATCACCTCTCAGAGTCTGGGAAAATGCGTTTCAAAACATTGAGTGACATTCAAGCTGTGTGGGCTGTAGTCCCATCCTGCTGGAACCACACGTCTCTCAATGCTTCATTTTCAACAATGTTTTCCATTATGGGCTGCAAGAAATTTTGCAACATTGCAGCATAGCGATTGGAATTCGCTGTTACGGTTACCCCCTACTCTGAGAATGACTCCAACAGTGTGTTGCAGCTAACAGCCCGCATCTTCCAGATATTGTTTTCAAAACATAAGTATTCTAAATGGTATATTATGCTAACCTCTAGGAAAATAAACTTTCTTCTTTATGTACCTCCATTACTCTTTTATTTTACCTCAAAACTGCTTAATCGGTTCTGCTCCACCCTGTATATTGAGAGGTTGAGATTGGATTGACCTTTTAGGCAATTAGAAAGATTTTCCACCCTAATACGAGTATTCTAATTAAAATATTTAATATCAATCTTTAAATATGTGAATTTAAAACTAGAAACAAAACAATTACAATTATAAGACTATATACAAAATAATTAAATGCAGTAAATGGATATAAAATATTTGAATTGTGCACATGTTTATTTCAAACAGTGTTAGCTTTTCTCATAACTTAAGTCTCGTTTCTAGTCGTATGAGGTTTGTTTGGTTATTGTTCAGTTTATGTTTAGTATTGGTTTATTGGTCTGAATTAAATGGGAACAGTGCAGTCAGTCGCTCAGTCACTACTAGTCGGTGTGTATAGAAGGTAGAGTCTGGTAGATTTATAGGACATAAAACTAGTAGATCTATTGATAGTGCTGTGCACTGTGCAATCAGCTACCTATCTGTTATGTGACTCTTCAATGTTTAGGAAATCTGCATTCCTGAAGTGTTTTTGTATATTGAAGCCAGTTAAATGGTCAATATTTAGCTCATTACCTTGCTCCATACAAACTTTACAAAGCTAATGAATAGACTTATCAATAATTGTTTACCCGAAAATCCCTAGGAGACAAAAAAGCTGAAAAATCAAATAAATAAAAAAATCATGAAAAAATAAAAAAATCATTGATTTTTTATTTTTTCGATTTTTTAAAAAATCAAAAAAACCGCCAACCCTGGTTCTCTCTTAACCTGTATGAACGTCTATTCAACTAACACACTTGCTGCTACACAACACAAAAACTTTCCAATTTTACGACCATCGTAAATCAATTAGTAATTCGTCGTCTCTTTTATTTGTTCTAGTTCCGTACAAGAGCCTAACATGGATTATTATGTTTGCAACATACGCTCTAACCACGAAGAACCATTTCGTGATTTTTCGTCTAACCTTTCTAATAATTTTCTATTGCTCTGGTCAGCTCTCATTTTATCCCCGAAGATACTCCTCATTAGCGGTATACAAGTAAAGATTAAACTTCCATGATTCTTGTGGAAAGTTACTATAAAGTGTTTGTTAAGCAAAAAAATTTTTGGGAGGCTTTCGTTTTCTGGAAAACGAAAGCCTCCCAAAACTATTCTTGTGCCATGCAGAAGAAATGCATCAATTCATGTATATTTGCATGCAAGTTTTTTTACTCTGAATCAGCTGTATATATAAGCATGACCCGCACACAACTATTACACAAACTTACTTGTATCTCTGTGCCAATGAGGGCAAACAGCATGGGCTGTAGGTAGCCCCAGGCGGCGTTGCAGTGCTGCCCCACGGGGTTGTCGTCATCGCCCCAGCCTTGCCGCCTGAACCCCACGCCCGCAATGAACGCCATGCTTAGCACCGATAAATTCAATCTAAAACCAGGCACATCCAACATACATTGCTATGTTAATCCAAATCATTATGAATAATTCTATATATGAACGGTGGAACATCGAAACGCAAGTTTATGCTGCACCATCAACTACTAAAAACATCGATAATTAGTGCAAAAACATTCTGACCGCTAAAGAGAGCCAATAGTCTACCGGTAAAAAGCATTGCAAACTGAAGCAACGAGCAGCTCTGGTGGTGTTCATTAGCCCGACATTTGGGCCTTGGCAGGTTCCAGCAGATGAAGCCCATCACGGCCCCGTATGACAATCCTATCACCACCTCCAGAGGCCCATGAAAAATCTGCTGCATCAACGAACCTGCACGCGAATTCGAAAAAAAGAATGAAAACACAATATGAATAGAACTTCATTAGGATCAAAGAGGGCATTTCGAACGAAAGAACAAAATATTACTTGAAATTATTGTTTTGAGGAATTTTGTTTATCTGAGTGAATCGAATTTACTGCTATAGAACGTACCTTTCCTTCAGAAAATGTCATGCCGAGCATGACGCCGAAGCCTGAGATGGCGATAACATCGTCGATGCTGGCGGCCGCGATGACGAGGGTGAGGATGCCCTTGTCGACGCCGTAGCCCTGCTGCGACAACTGCAGCAGGCACGGCACCACCACCGCCGGCGACACCGCAGCCAAAACGAACCTAATGCAACGTAAAACATTAGTAACCGCAATTGAAAGTTCATGATATCAACAGATTATTGCTTTGTTGATCGATCTTATTTCTTTCTGGAGACAATATCACGTGTTGACGAAGGATACAGTCTTAATGTTTTTTTGGATGCCAGACAAGATTGGACTTTGAATGGCAAACGGTGGAAACCTAGCCACAATGTTATCATAAATTTCATCACCGTCATTCTCAAGTCACACAGTAGGGGCAACATTGCCACCATCATACCCGAGCATGAAGCCCCAAAGCCAAGGGAAGTCGAGGAGGAAGTGCGAGACGAAAGCGACGACCGTGGTCTCGACGAGACAGGGTACGAAGGCGAGTCTGAAGACCACGAGCGACATGGCCTTGAGGGCCTTAGGGTCCAGGCCCAGACCGGACCGAAGCAGGATCACCACCAGCGCTATGTTCCTGAGATATGCATGGCGAATGTAATTTTGATGCCTGAAGACCTGGCATGCACGTCAAATGTCACGAAAATTGACTAGCCCATGTAATCCGATTATTCCAATGAACTACAACCAGTTCGTGTTGCCATTTCTATGTCATCAGAAAGACGCCTGACATGATAGCAACTGAAATCTAGAAGCGATTTTAAATCTGCCGTCCGTTGAAAAGATTTGATCTAAAGGCCAGTCTAGTCAAGAAAAGTACAAGAATCGGCGACAGGCCTATCCAGGCCTATTCTTCAATGCCGAGGATACTATAATATACTATACTAATACTTCTGGTCAGCACTTTACAAGAAGCATAATCAAGCGATAAGCTCGCAGTAAATTATTTCATCAAGAAAAAATCTTTTATGCATTACAAATTGTGATAGCGAAATATAATTTAGAAAATTTCCAATTTTTTCGAAAATATATATATATATATGTATATGTTAAGAACAAATTTATCGGCTGACTAAGTGGACGGTTTAATCGTATGTTTGTATCTGAAGCTTAACATGAGAAATTGACGACATAACCGAAATTGCATAACCTGATTGAGGACGACCAGTTGGGGTCGACACTGTCGCCTACGATCGCGACGCTCCGCAGCGCCATGCCCACCAGCAGCATGCCGAGCAGCGGAGGCAGCCCGCACACCTGGGCATATTTTACGTTAATCATAAACAAAATTCCCCTAAACAAATTATTGTAAAGCAAGAAGAAGAAAGCTTGGAAGCTAGATATAATAAAAGACAAAAGAAAAAGTAAATAGGCTTAACTGGCAGCGACCAAATTAACTATGGTGAAACTGCTCCCGTGTCTCTCGACTTTGAGCGTATTAAGAAAAATTTTTGAGAGTATTAAAAACTTACAATCACAGAAGGACATTTCAACACACGTTAAAAATAGATAGGATCAAATCCTTGCACTGAGTCCTGATGAGAAACCGATGAGAAAACCAAATAAATTAAACTCGAATATGAAGTAGAGTAAATATGACAATCTACTTGTACTGTAAAAAGCGGCGGTGTAACTGAAAGAAGGTATCACTACTAAATCAATCTTTTTGCGTATTACATCAAGCAAAAAGATAAAACTTGCATTTTGTTGTACGCGTTTTTGCTAAGTAATTAAATCGTATGATTAGGGTATTAATAAAGATGATATGAACTCAGGTAGTGTACGAATACGGAATACTAATTATTACCAACGAAGGCAATGAACTACTGTACTAATTACATAATGAACTACTCTCACTTAAATATCAAGCTCAAGGCTTCAGTAAATTTCAGGCTTCAAATTGTTCCGCAGAGTACATTTTTTAATTAATATTATTAACATTTCACATATTTTTGACACTAGTGCAGTTAGTCCATAGTTTAATAATATGGTGTCTTGATCTTCGCAACAAAAACAAGCTTTCTTTAAACCAAGTTTCTGATGGAGTATAGATACAACGCACACAACGGGGGAAACAACATGAGGCTAGAGGTAGCTATGTTACCTCAGCACTGCACGTACTTTTTATTAACTGAATCAAATTACATTAAATAAAAATTGAACTGATTCTTGAAGCAAGTGTGGCACGAAGTCTGAAAAATATTACGCAGAATCAGCGAGCTCAGGAATTAAAACAATGTGCGTATGTCTAACCGTGGGCAAGGGCAGTGATAAATGGAGACATTATCGATGAGTGAGCCTCTATACTGAATGCATAAGGCTGCATTAAGCGAACAAATTTCTTGCTTCTAAGCCAAATTAAAGTTTAAGTGAAAGGTAAAATAAAAATAAGAAATAAAATATAAATATAACCCCGAAATAAAAAATAAACTGCTACTCTGTTAACGCAGCAAAGCGAATGTATATGCGTGCTGTATTTTGCGCCTGAGGCTTGTATTTATAGATAAATGTTCGTGTCAAACTGGACAGCAATAAGTCATGTGGCGTATAATGTTACCCTCAATACGAGTTATGGGCGACGGGAATCCTGAGATACAGTATCAAGCAATTTTTTTTTACTTTTACACTTTACTTTCTTTTAACCAATTCCAGTTCTTTTCCGCCTCTCCTCAACAATTAAAATTTCCAGTTGATGCCATTGCAAAAAGTCATCATATTCTTTTAATCCCGTGCTATAACATGAGAGAAATATCAGGGGGGAAGGGGAAAAAAGATAGAATCGACTAGAAAAAAATCGACTTTGAAAAATTAACTTCTTAAGTCGCTAGATATTTGCATTACAAATAAAATGACGTGTTTCTCGATGTTGTAACTCGTAAATTAAAATAGGAAATTTGTCGTTTTTACGTGTAAATTCAGGTTTTCCTTAATTTTCCCCAAATTGTACGAACAAAATGTGCCTGTATTAGTGTTATACATAGGTATATGGGGTTTCAGAAAGATCAATCGTTTTTCTGTGGGTAGACCCTTCACTTGATTCAAACCGTCTTGAATGAATTTTTAGCACATAAACGGCAGAATGTTAATTAGCGCATCATTTGATGCCTGTTTTTCCTAATATTCCTTAATTTCATTCGTCGTAATAAAGAAACGCAGATATCATCTGCCCTTAATGTTGAACACAATTTTAGCGCTCTTTCGTACTGACCTCTTGGTGAAGAAATGATTCGTGGCCAAATGAATTCGCAATCCTGCGTGAATAAATGTGTACGAGTCCCTCTCAATATGAGTGATGGGATGTCAAACTTAATTCAATGACTCCAAATGTGAATTAAACACGCAGGCTAAGCATAAGAAACCAGTCGCAAAGCAAAATAAGATTTCATTTAACCAGAACTCGAACACAACTAATTGCGTTACTTACACGTTTTTATTACCCTTCCACGGATACGAATGATTGAAGTGTTCGATTCGAAAAGAGGTTCCAGCCAAACGTGTTAATGCTTGAACGATGGAAGAAGATATGATAGCTAAGGTACGACAAACACCACCACCAAGTTAGCACGCAAGCAGCAAGGCCAAGGTTGTCATTGCATGGTCAGTAGAAAACAGATAAAAGGTACTCGGACACTAGGTCAAATGCATGTATAGAATACGGATTTTCCCTTACTGATACAATGCGCAACTGCATAAATTAATGTCATATTGAACTAGTTTTGCTGGAAATACATTAGTAGGAATGACATAGTTTCGCCTCTTGAACTAACTTAATGTTAACGTCGTATTTTATTGAGTCTTTCTAGAAAATGTCTAGAAAATGAATAATACGTCCTTGCTTTTAATACCGTGGCCTGTTTCAAGTGCAACGGTAAAAAAGATCGACTGTCGCTCTAATTGATTGAGTCAACCTTGACCGAAAACTTTGTCTCCTTAGCTTTAATTATTAATTTAACAACTGTCAGGTTAGCAGGGCGTTATAATTCTAGTCGCTGAAATTTTAGAGTACCATTATTTCGAATCTATTAATTGATATAAAATCTATTGTGTGGTATTCAAACTAAAATCCGGTTCGACGCATATATTGCGTAGAATATCTATATTGATGATTTCACAATCGTGAAAACATTGTGATTCGGCAATCGGCATGGTTTTAATGTTCTTTACCGCATTCGCTCATGCTGAGGCCTTATATATTTAAATGACCAGACTATGCAGCCATTAACATTTTTGAGTTGAATCTTTCTCAGTTGAAAATTCAAGGTACAGTTTCATCTCAATCTTCAGCATTGCCATGCCTTAGCTTTCAATTTAGGACTCTAGCATGTTTGTTAGTGTCCCCTGCATTTATGTAAAGCTGAGGCAGCATGTCCAACACATCCTCAAGTGATTTGTCGTGGTAGCATTTTAGGCTTCAATAAATTGTGTATCAGGTTTGTATTGTGTGATGTGTTGCGTGATTAAAAATGTGTGATGTGTTGTGTGATTAATAATTAATAAGAATAATAATAAAGACTTACGTCAGCGTTGAATGCATCTTAAATTATTTTCCGAGCACAAAATTTGACATTTTTTGAGAATACAGGTTCTCGAAAATGAATTCAATTTTCATATATAGTATATTGTATAAGGCAATAACATATGAGTAGTTAATATTCCGGGATCATTCATGGCCTCAAGGCTGTGTTTTGATCAATGCTTGCGTCTCCTAAACTGTCATTGTTATCCCAGGGTTTGGACGAGCAAACGTTCGGCTGAAGGCTCTTATTATCTAAGTTGCCTTACCGAATCATAGGTAGAGGAATATCACTCAGGTGAATACAACTTATTTTCTTCTTCATTGTTCACTGCGAGAGCAATAGTCAGTTCATTACCTTTTGCGGCAAACATTCTGGTATCAAGTGTTTTGTTCAATAATTGAATTTGATGCTCACAACGTGCTATAAATCTTTTGCAGATTTTGCGGAATTAGAACACTGATTTTAAGGTTTCAAGTCTGCATATAGGACATTGGTTATCTTTGTCATCACACATTGTATACGAGGTGGGTGAAGAGAGGAATGATTTTAAAATTGTAAAGTACCGTTGATTGGCCCTTAATTGTTAGGCCGTCTGCATTGTACAGTAATTTTTTATCCAAATTACTGTATGCTTACCTATCTTTCGCATATTTCGTTAATCACAATGAGGAAAAATTTGTAGTACAAACCTCTTGCAACAATGTAGCTTTTTCCTACCTTATCCTTCCTTCCTAACATTGCCATGTTCAATGGAAAGTTCGGACATTAATTCTCCAATAATTTGTAATTTTTCGAAAGTCACCCAATTCATAATACTTCGATTTCACTCTGGTACCAAGCTCAGTGATACCACGAAAAATAAGCAGATAATTACTGAGAACAAGCAACTTGATTACTTACGGAGTTGAGACAACGATTTGTATCCTTGTTCGTACGCGTTTCTCGCGTTTCTCTTGCAGCGACATGGTGACTGCTTGACTGGTGAAGACTAAGCCTAACCATGCAGTCGAACTCTTGCGTGAAATGGCATTCCACACATGGATCCAGCTTTCTCGATGAATTAGAAATTAGAACCTGAAGTATATGGGCACGAGCAGCTAAAATACACGAGCATGTCACCATATAGGTACCTCAAGTTGAAAATTTCAATAACTGCCAGTTCCAAAATTTTTTAAGCTATACTGAGTTGTCTACACGCCCAGTAACGCCCAGTAGCCGCCATTGATTAAAATTATCATTATTCACTGAAGTAATCATGTAAACCGCACCACAATAGGATACAATTGTAAACCTCACCTGAAAATATTGAAATTTTGTATTCCTTGTTTGAATAACCGAAGGTACATTTTTCAGTGCCTGTTATCAGGCAATGCACTGTCATCACAATATCAAGCAGTTTCATCCCAAATCATAGCGACCTGAAAATTAAATAAAATACTCGTAGGCCCTGAATGCAAAACCGAACGTTCTTCTGTTGCTCTTTCTGCCAATTAAACGCTTACATGTTAGTTATGTGTGCTATGATATGGATTTGAAATTTATCTCTTGAAGCTACAGGCATAAATTTTTTTACTGCCACGTATATATTAAGAAATTTCTCCTGCACCCTTAAATCATATTCCCATGCCTTCAAGCAGCCTGTTGTTTTTAAATATAGCAAAATAAATTAAGATATTTTTGTCCTATAATTAATGAAATTAAATCTAACTATTACGTAAGCTCAAAAAATTGGTTAATTCAATTCTCATTTCGTATCATCGTATGTCTTAACAAACGTACGCTTGTACAAACAGCGACGCCATTCCATGAGCGGGTGATGGTCATGGTTCGCTCATATACTAGCGTCTGACATGAAACAGCCTGGATAGCTGCTCTTTTTGATTCTTACGCAGATTCGGCAATCGTGCAATCGACTCCCGCAATAAGCTCCAAATTGCAAGCCGAATAGGGCAGATGGCCGATTTGAACCTGATTCACTTCTGAACCGAGTGGATGAAACCCGGGGCGACCCTGCATGGAATCTAAAATTCGACTGGGCGTGAACAAGGCAACCTTGGATCGTGTCGTGAGTTGTGGTGCTGCTGCAGCCCGGTAATGAAAAAATACAACGCACTGCCCCCCTCTCCAACCTGGGGCGACCGCATCAAGTATGCCTTCTCATGTCCTCCTCACGGCAAGGTGGGTACCATGTTAAAGGCCACCACATTATTTAGCACTGGCTACTCTTCTCGAGTAAGATATTGCATGGCCACGCGGACGTGGCCAGTGATGAGGACCGGAAAACCACTTTCTTGGAGATTTGACATCCGACTACTATTTTTTATGTGGACACCAGCTAAATGAATCCTATTCAAAGAATTTTCGTAACAAATAAATTTTTAGAGGTGGCGCAAAGCCAGTAATAATTAAAAAAAACGTCGCGTAAGGGGTTCCCTGCCCCATCACCTTGGTAAACAGAAAGTTCACTTCCGCTGTTCACTGTATAGAAGGTTCATGTGTTTCGCTGTAGGCTATTTTTTTCTGGACTCTATTATTGTCTTGCAATGTTATCTAGTACAATTATTTGCATTTCATCTTTATCTCATTCACCGCCTATCATAAAATAGTTCGTTTCAGATAGCAATTAAATTCCTAGCTATTGAATTACGCCACTAAAACGGCTCGATTTTATCGCGTCTACGATGATAACAGGGCAGAGATTAACGAAACTTCGCTAAGTTCACGTAACTTTTCGTACTTACGTTCAAAAAGTTACGTATGGCGTAAGTCAGTCAAAATTTGGCATTAACAAAACTGTCTTACGCATGACTCATCTGAAAAGGTATTAGCGAAACCATCCAACTAACTGACCAATCAGAGGCTTTGGATTTGCTGTTCCTAGCTCCTGTCGACTCAGTGCGCAGAGCGCGTGGATGGAAGGAGGTTGTGTCGTGTCAGCGGCATCAGAGTAGACTGACTAGGGTGCATATGGAGAAATAAGTGTGACGTTATCCAAATAGCAATGCACTTGTTGTGATCATTCATCAAAATTTCTTGCAATCAGGGCAAAAAAATTGCACTATGCCCATTCAAAACTAGAAGACTTTTTAGAGAGACATAGAATTTAGAAAATTTTACGAGTTGGAGTTGTGACTGTCAGAGAAAAAAAGAAATATGTGTACGGAGCTAAAAAAATGGTTGGCTTGTCAACCTCCACATAATTTTGAATCAAAAAGGCATGAAGATATTTTGAATCAAAAGGCATAAAACTCTTGAACTTGAATATCAACATTTGCTTGTAAATTGAAAGACAGGATGAAAACAAATTAGCTTCTGGTATAAACTCAATAGAATATTTTTTCCTAAAAGCACTAGCACGATCCCATATTATACCTAAGTCTCATTATTTACAAAATTCTATTACAATTCAACTTGCATCTAGTAAATTAATAGTCTCATATTGCTTCAACACTCAAAATTTGTACGTAACTCCGCTTACGACACCTCCGAGCAGGCGTACAGTTATGCACAAATTTTTGTACGTAGCTTCCCGCGCAAATGTTTCGATAATAACACTCAGTAGAGTCACGTCTACTTAGCTGTACTTACGCTAAACGTTAGCGGCTACGTATACTTAGCATGTTTTGATAATCCGGCCCCAGCTGGTCATTATATTGAGAATTTTTTGTTTGCTGAACTTTGCAGCATTAGTGATAGAATGTTACGAACATGTGAAAGTGTTTAAAATATCTGTTGTTTGAATGAGAACAAGGAAATGAAAGAATTTTAACACACTACTTAAAACATCATTCCTTAATGAGAAACAAAAAGGAAATAATATAACTCAGTACTCACTGCAGTGAGTGACAGAGAGCGCATTTTCTCGTCGACAAAAACTTGAGATCACGGACAGACGGACGGACAGACAGACAGACGGACATGGCGAGCACAATAGTGCATTTTTTCCATAAATGAGAAAATGCGCTAATAATATGACCGTTTTCAAACAATAATGCGTTGAATTCAAATATAAATCTAAGTCGTTCTTCGGTATTCGCTACCAACTAGCAGAGAATTCCGTTAGTGTTGCACCTATAATTCTAAAACTGCCGAGTTAAACTGATTTCGATGGTCATTTAACTCTAATATTAACTATAATATCGATATATAATAGGGAAAACATAATATCAAATAATGATCAATATATAATTCATATTTAATTAATACAAATAAATATGATTCAGTGATTAATATATGTTGTAATAGCTATGATATTAATATTCAAACTTTGGCGTGAGGTGGGCGAGGTGCTGACGCAGGTAGTCCAGCTGCTCCTGGTCTGGGGGGCGCTGTACGCCATCACTGGGGACGCCGCGGCCCCGGGCGGACACATCTTCTCTCTCCTCGTCGTCTTCGTCTGCTCCGTGATGGGCGGCAAAGTCACCGAGGTAAACAAATATTACTGGACAATATTACGTGTTTTATTGGTGGGTGACGAATGGCCGGGGATTTATTGACAGCGGCCCTCCGGTAATGTGGCAGGTAAATAGCATACCAGCATACCAACTAAACTAACTTTTTATCCCTTTAAACGATCGTTTGAAATTTGAGTTCGTCTGTTTCATATATAATAACTGGGTAACATTAGTCATTTATTCTAGTAAAAAATTTTAAATGTTGATCAATATGTTCCTTTTCCGTATGTGCTGCAACGGGCTTCAAAAGTATTTTTCGATAATTTACGTTTTCCGTGTAAATTAACGGAGCGATTATTGAATGGTTTTAGGAAGAACCGTATTCATATCAGAGGTTGTTTGAACTTTTGCAATAATTTGTTTTTATAAGTTTTTATCTTTTACCTATTTATTTCTAGAGAAAGCTGGTTTAAAAAGCAAGATGTTTTGTGTTTATTCCTCGATGTTGAAGGTGTACGTGTAGAAGAGCTTTGATAAGATTACATCTTTGTCAGGCATGCGGGCTACCCGCGCTGCTAGGGATGTTGCTGGCAGGTATTGCGCTGAGGAGCATCCCGGGCGTCAAGATCATTGGGGATAGTCTCAACCCCAGCTGGTCTGCCTCCATCAGGTGGAGTTTGTAGGTCATTATACCTAACCGTCTAGTCGTGTTCCAGCTCCAGTCTAATGTGAACAGAATTATGAGTTCCTTTCAACCGCAGTATTTCAATTTTTCAATATTGTTCTTTAGAGGTATAGATTTGATCAATATTATGTTATATATTAATGAAAAAATTGTGCAATCCTGCTTTAGTTGAATTTTCCCGTTTTAATGTACTACAAATTCATTGACTTTTTTGCGTTTTAGACAAATTGAACCTAGGTCATGAATGTCTCAGGTAAGCATTATTGATCCTACAAGATGCGACACCAATATGTTCAGCAAACTGCTAGTTAGATACAGTTTTGAAAATTTGTTTCATGCTTCCTATCCAGCGTTGTTCAGCAATTTACTTTGAATCACAAAGACTTAACTGGTTGTCAGGCCATGGCAGCTCATGAGCCATTCTTTTGGCAGGAAAATGGCCCTGGTGGTGATCCTGCTTCGGGCCGGTCTGGGCCTGGACCCTAAGGCCCTCAAGACCATGTCGTTGACGGTCTTTAGGCTCGCCTTCGTGCCCAGCCTCGTCGAGTCCACCACCGTTGCCATCGTTGCGCACTTCCTCCTCGGCTTTCCTTGGCTGTGGAGCTTCATGCTCGGGTACCGTGTTAGCGTTCTTCAACGTATGATAAATTACAGACTATAGACGGAGCAAAATATAAAAAAATATTCAAAATATAAATTAAAATTCCCACAAGCAAAAATTCTTGCCTTATATTTATTACGATTCATCAACTGATAGTTCTGGCGATACTACCCACATACTCAATGCCTGATTATTATTTATCATCTACATTTTTTTATTCATAAGTTGTTTTCTGAGAATAGTGCCTATCCTAACATTATACCTTGAATTAGATTCATCGTAGCGGCAATATCACCATCAGTAGTAGTGCCGTGCCTGCTGCAGTTGTCGCAGCAGGGCTACGGCGTCGACAAGGGCATCCCCACCCTCGTCATCGCGGCGGCCACCCTCGACGATGTCCTCGCCATCTCAGGCTTCGGTCTGATGCTCGGCATGACGTTCTCTGAAGGTAAGTAATTCTCTCTGAAATCAGGTGTAACCGGAAAGAATTTTTCAATACTTAAATAGTAGTTTCTTATAGTATGTTCACTTGAGGGAATTCTTGCGAATTTTTTTCAGTGCATAAACTGATTACAAAGTAGGCATTGATCTGAAAAATATGCATTGCATCTTCAGATTGTTCTCATTTCCTATGATAGAATTGGTGTCGGGTCGTTCGTTCCAGTGGTTCAGGGAAAACGTGGCACAGGTCACAGGTTATAAGCGTTTATTAGAGTTACAGTTACACTTTCAACACAAAACCATTTCGTGGCAAGGGCAGCGTAACATGCTCACGAGCTCCGCCCGCGAGTAAATCTCTCTTAAAACTAGCTCTCGAATCAACACGCCGCTGATCGAAGACACCTCGTCAGCTAGCGGTAACTCCGCTAACCGAACATAAAAACAAAACCGAATTTTATCAAACAAGGAAATTTAAAAAATAAAGATACATTTCTAAATCAGAATTTGATGTAAGGTTAGCGTGAGACAGGCAATACATACACAATACAGAAATGTCTAATTCTACCCTACAACACAGTGATGATTTCCTATGATACATTTCACATTCTATGACAAGAAGAAATACCTTACATCTGTCTCACAATCACTGGCAGGAATTTCCCAACCGCTTAAAAGCTCCTCTTATATGAAAATTGTATATTTTAGTTTGGAATGACCTGCACCCATACAGGATCGTTGACGTGGCAACTTCTCCATGGACCTCTGGAAGTGTTAATGGGCTTGTCTTACGGGGCCATGATGGGCTTCATCTGCTGGATCTTGCCTAACGAACACCACCAGAGCCGCTCGTTTCAGCAGTTCACCATTCTTATCAGCGCCGGCTTCTTTGCACTCTTCGGCAGTCAGAAGGTTAGGCTAGGTTCTGTCAGCTGACGATGTTCATTCAAACAGCACAGCTCACTTATGACCAAACCCCCTTACGAACCATCAGAGTGGGAAAATATGCACACACAGTTTATGGGTGTTCATAGTTGCGAGAATCCTGCAATATATGCAGGACCCAATTTAATACATTCGTATACAAATAAGTATGAATTCATAATGAAAATTCATACACCTATGGAAAGAGAAGGATTCAATTTTCTTCAATCTATTCAAACGCGGAATTGGGAGGACTAAATTTTTTATCCTTTTCAAATGCGGAATCAGTCACTTTTTGAGCGTTGGTTAGGACGCATATGAAATAAAGATCTGGTGGTTCTACACTTCTGGGCCTTCTGGCCACCGGGATCACCTGATCTCATCCCATGAGACTATTTGTTATGGGGTTACGTCAATGAAGCTGTATACGTCCCGCCTCTCCCAGGAACTCTGCTTACATCCCGCCTCTACCAGTAATTCAGGTTGATCTGAAGAACCGTATCAATGCTGCAGTGCACTCAGTAACAGAAATTTTGATTTAGAAACTTACAAGCGAAGAAAATTCTACAAAAAAATCATACTGTCTTGTTTTCTAAAACGTTTCGAATTTCAACTCCATCGTAAGTTGACTTTGTTCGAAAATTCTAGAACACAGGTAAATCAGTAATTGGTACAGTCAAGTGTGTTTTCACGAGGTTTCTTGGCCGTCCAATTACCCTCTTGGGGCCATACTTTCAAAATTCGCTAAGTGAACTCAAGTACTTAAGCTCTATTTTCTTGTCTATGATTGGTGGATTTTGCTTGAAAGGCCTTCAATGATTGGCTGATATGAACTTACGATTTCTTAATCTTTTTTTTTTTTTTTTTTGAGAGTATGGGCTTAATTTGAGCGATCGGAGAGATATTTGATGATCTTAATTTTAATTAATTTCCAAAGATCACGACTATAAATTTTTTTTTTTTTTTTGAGAGTATGGGCCTTGATTTTAAGCCAATATTCTACAACAGATACATTTATGGCACTTTTTTAATTTTCAACCTCTCACGTCAAACTCTACTTCAGTTACCTAAATTTGCAACATAAATCCATCAAATTTACCCTGCAGCCTGTCCGTCCTCGATTGCAATATTACTAAATCTAAAGCCCTTTTCACACTTCTGTGTTCCGAAAATCGACTTTCACAGCTTATATTGTTTTCTATTTAAAATTAAGGGGCACTTTTTAGCCGGGCTTTTTTTAATGAATACTTTTACATCAGGGCTTTTGCATCTTTTTATATTTACCATGCTATGCTCGCTGAATTCAAATCATGCGCAATATCTGCTCGTTTAATGAATTTCTGACTAATCTGGTGTTTTCCCAAATAAATAAATTCATGTCCAAGCGGTACAATGACGTTGTTACCGAGCACGACAGTATGAATGTTTGTCATTGCTCTCTTCATACTTCAGCCCTGCCTCCGAAAATACGTCAAGAGAGCTATAACCTCTGTTCTCAATGTACTTCCCAAATGTTAGTCTTCGTGTTTTATTGGTAAACAATTTTTAAATTGATTCCTTTTTAGGTACCAAGATATCCTCCCTATTCAAATGCGAGCGTCCCTAATTTATAAATACAGTTGTGCACGATGTGCATCTGCGTATGTCGTGACGATGACTTGTAATCTTTATTCTAGGGTCGCAGTACATAAAAGGAAGAGTTGTACATAGAACTGGATCGCCCCCCCCCTCATTCGGCTGTGCGCACTCGCACCGAGTAGTGCGATGTTCAAATTCATGAAGGTTACTTCATGGTTTTAGCTTCCATTTCCGGTGTTTTCGATTAGCGCATTTTAAATTGCAATGTACACTTTTAAACAGAGGCCTTGTTTAAATTCAGCTAATAGCTGTTTCCACTTGAAATTGTAAATTGATAGGTTTTACTGATACGGTTTTTTTGTTGTTATTGTAATTGCCCATCCTGATAGTGGAGACTAGGGAGGGAGAGTGATAGGTCAGTTTTTCAGGGCACTTGGTGCCACTGGTAGTTCTACGACCATCACTAGCTCGCTGACCCGCCTGAACCATTTTTGTATTACACAACACCCTGGACAAGCCAGGTACTCATTTATCAACTAGAGTTGGATGAATGGCTGAGTTAACCATGAGCTGAGTTTCCCAGAAGAACTTGTCCTCAGTGGGACTCGAACCCGGGAGCTGGGTGCGAGAGACGGAGTCTCTCACCACTGCACCACCACACCTCAAGGCTTTATTGTAATCTTGACTGTACTAATTACTGATTTATCCGTGTTGTAGAATTTTCGAATTGACGATGGAGTTGGACTCCGAAACGTTTTCTATAAAGATAGTATGAATTTTTGTGGAATTATATTTGCTCTTAAGTCTCTTATTAATTAGCGATTCAGGTAAACGAGTGTTATAATTACCTAAGATATGCTTTCTGTAGGATGAGTTTGGTTACCATTAAGATGCTTGCCGTGCAGCACAAGATGGACATATTGAACATTTATAAGTATTTAATAGAAAACTTTGGATAATTGGTGTATAAATTATGCATTTTGAATTGATACTCAAATATATACGAATTTATTAAATTGTGTCCATCGTCTAGAATAACCCTGTACATGTGAATTACAAAATTCGATTCATTGCCGATTCCAGATTAACTTCGGCGGCGCAGGAGCGCTAGCGGTTCTGTGCATGGCGTTCATAGCGGGCATCGGGTTCAGGCGGCAGTCCGGGGGCGACAAGAACCTTGTGGGTCAGCACTTCACGGTCGCCTGGGGCTACCTCATGCCCATGTTATTTGCTCTCATGGGCACCGAGATACAAGTATGTATACGTAAAAGTTACAATACGGCTCTACCTCCTACTCATGATCGAGAAAAATACTAGTATAAGTATCCACATTCGGCTTCCAAATATTCAAATACTTCTTAAATTGGACCACTACCGAGTACGAGAATTTATGTATCTTAAGTTGGTCTAACGTTTAATATTTTACATTCATTTATTATCACATTTGAAGTCCATTTCTTAAAGTAAATTTCTAATAAAAAAGAGACATTTTGTAACATATTGCGAACAAAATGTGCGCAGATCATGCAACTAGAGCTCGACACCATATGGTTGGGGGTTGCCCTGTTGTGCATCAGCCTGACGTGTCGCGTGGTGACGACCTTCTTCGTGGTGCTCGGCAGCGGCCTGAACATCAGGGAGCGATTCTTCGTCGCCCTCGCCTGGCTACCGAAAGCAACAATCCAGGTACTGCTGCTTTTATGAAATCGTACATTAATCTAATATCGAAATCCTTAACCAAGTCACCCATTACGGCTTATATCTCATCGGCATTAAAATCATGTTTGTAATTGTTGTACCTCCAATTTTGTTGCATGTGTTTCATTTATATGAGCATGATGATGTTTAAATAACTTCATTTTAATTCATATAAATTGCATCGGGCTGAAGGTTCACACTCATTTTCTTAATTGAATCAGTAGTCATGAACAAAAAATAGTTCGTGGAACTCCACAACCCTAGATTGTGAGCAATTTTTAATCATAATTTGAATAATAAATTGACTTGATATGACAAATTTCTTACCCTAGGCTGCGATAGGCTCCACAGCGCTGGACTACGCCGTTCGCATCGGAGCCGACGAAACCGAGATCGCTCTTGCCAAAAAGGTACATTTACTTTGTTTCTAAGCCAAGCATTTGATTAATGGCACAATCTTTTTAATCCTTTTGGTGGAAAATGAATGGAAAAATTTTCAGTTTTTCCACGAAACAAATTTGTGCATTATAAAATCTAGTAATTTGGGTAAAAGTCAATGTAAAGTTTTGATTTTTTGATGTGGTAATTAAGGCTCAAGTTTGATATCCTTTTCTTTTTTTCGGCTTAAACCTTTGTCCGACGTGTAACTTTAATTTACTGCACATAATTTAGTCGGGAGATTTTTACTGCTTCCAATTAATGCCCTGTTGTGAAAGGTTCTGAAATAAGCCATAGAATAGAATAGAAGTGTCGGCACTGAAGAAATAGGCCCATGTCTTGTACTTTTCGTGACTTGATTCACAAGTGATCCGGCCTTTGGAACCCGATCTTTCCATAACTGAGGATTGATTGAGATAGCTGCTGGACTTATTGCCTGGTCCGTGAGGAGAGGGGAAGAATTTCCATTAGTCTTGCTGGATTTTAACAATTTAAAAAAAATCCCAAAAAAAAGCAAAGTATAACAGCCAATTTAGCGAAGATTGCAATGTCCTGCATGGGTTTGCTCACCCAAATATATTTATGTTTGTGGAGCGTCAGTAATTTTACAGAATTACGGTGCTGCAGGTGCTGACCATCGTAGTTTTGGTGATTTTGATCTCTGCGCCCATCGGGGCCATCGCCATCATGACCTCCGCCCCCCGACTCCTGCAGCGCGCTATTCAGCCCGCGCCCTCTACCAGCGTCTAATGAATAGCTTACCTCCATGGTGGAGTTTCAGTGTCATTTCATTTTTCATAATATTATTTTTACAAAATTTTTACGTGTAAATTTCTACTTACTGCTTTAGTCCACAATGAAGATGCGCCACTTTGAGAAATGGTTAGATTTGGGCCGATGTTACTATGGTTGAGACTTGAGAGAACAACGCTCCTAGATATCTTTGAGGACTTAATTAGGACGAATGATCGACGAGAAATGCCACACTCTCATGTGCCTCAATAAATTGCGAAGTGCCTCGCTAATTTCATATTCGTTTTCTTTAGTTGATTGTTAGAGAAAAACATTCTAGCACAAACTACAATAAATTTTTCCATATGATATACAAATTATCAACGACAAATAAAACTACTCGTAAACATAGGATATTTAGAACGTAAGACTTTTTTGTCTACTTATACGAATTGTACCAGTTACTACTCCCTGATTCATGTGAATTTCGGAATAAAATTCCAGAAGGAACCTGAAGTAAATTTCGAATTTTTATAAAATCTATTTAAATCTACTTTGAGTTATTTTCGACGCCTATATCAGTGAAACACTTCTAGCAATAAATCAAGAAATATAATAAATCATCCAGCATGATTTTCAATTCTCCAATCGTGTGGCAAGTCACATGTATATTATACTCGGGATAAGTCAATGTGTGACATGCGAACCATCAACTTTTCTATGCCGATATAGCCATATAGGTTATGTATTGATACTGTTATAGGTCCTTTAACATCAGGCGAGTACTGTAGCGATGCTAAACGTTCAGAAATACTTAACATCGTTTTCGAAAATGAAACCCATTCTTAGACATGCAAGAGGTGCTTTAATTTACACTCATGCATTCATCACATCTGCTTACAAATACGTCCGAAAACACCAGGAATTTTTCAGCAGGGCACATGTATTATAAAAACTCTCTAGATCCAATAGCAAATATTAGTAACTCTGATTGAAAATTTTAGTGACTTACTAACTTTCTGACTTAACCGCTTCAATAACGGAAGGACATCAAGGCCATTGAGGCCGTTCACGTTGGTCAAGCAACGAACACAGAATGTTTTAAGCATTCAAGAGGTTCCCACCAGAAGCAGAAAAGTCAACAACTTTGAACAAGGTTCACAGACAGTGAACAGCGCCTCCAACAATGTAAAAACAATAGAGCATGGGAACATAGAAAACATAACCCCATATCTTTGCATTCGCTATAGTTGAATAATAATTTTTACAATTTTTACAACAAAGTCATTGATTGACTGTTGACTTAAAATTTGTATGCATCAGCACCGATTTTGCACAGGATCCTCGATTAAAAACATTAAACAGAAAATCATGGAGCTTCTCTCGCATATAAATACCACATTAAACTCCGAGCGTCATCCTTCACATATTCAAACTATATCTTCAGTAGTATACCCTCTCAAAGACTGTTGATAAGGAAGCCAGAGAAGGTAGTATATGCTTCTTCGTATGGATGCTCGTAGATCTCCCCCTGCTGCAGCTCCAGATAGACATTCTCGCCAGGGTTGAGGAAGAGTAGCACAGAGTTGGCACCCCACTGGTAGCCATCCTTGCCTCCGTACGCCGTTACTTGGAAATGTCCGTCCTTCATCAACGCAATTCTAGAAAACAGCGAATAACAAATTACAGCATTGAAGTTTATTCATAATACATGAATAAAAAAATCAGATATTTTAGCAATAGCAATTTTCATTTCTAAATGTGAACTGTTAAGGATCATAATATACATGAACTGTTGTGCAAAACTAATAATGTGCAAATAATAGTTGTGCAAAACCAATCGACATTAGTCTAGCATGAGGCCTGGGTTTAATATTATTTTGAGCTGAGATAACGAAGCAATTTGTCTAAACCGTTTCACTGAAAATTCTTCACATAGATGTGTCAATTTACCCCATTGAACAACTGTTAGCAAATGGTCAATGAAAAAAATTGCACTCTATCGATAAATTCAGGAAAAACATTTGATCTCAATTAACGCCCTGTCCGCAGAATGATTCCGGAGTTGGGACGACTTTTCACAGTTTGCTAACATGGCCTCTCTGACAAATATATTGAGTTGAACATAACTTATTAAAATTGCATATATATACTTCTCGGCTAATTCGCCCAATCCGGAAAAACGCCAAATGCTTTTGAACGGCATCTGATACAATCTGAGCGACTTGTCTTAGCCTGACCATCAATTATTTGATTAGGCGGTAGTTAGGGGTATTGTTATTAGCTATTTAAAGCCCTAGTATACTTACCTAGCCTAGTAGTGACTCTCATCAATGATGTTAGCTGTTATATATTATAAGTTCAATTACATGCGTTCTTTGCTGCTCAAGCCACAAATTAACTTACCAGTTGAAGCTGCAGTATTTGACGCCAATCTTAATAACAAGCTAAAATATCTCAATAAAATATATGCTTCTGTGTGTGCTTCTTTATTAATTAAACCTATTTCTAACGTTGTAATGTAATAAAAAACCACCAAGACAGGAAAATAATAAAATTAAATACATGGACTACATGTAAGGACTACATGGACCACATGTAAGGACTACATGGACCACATGTAAGGACTACATGGACTACATTTAAGGACTACATGGACTACATTTAAGGACTACATGGACCATATGTAAGGACTACATGGACTACAACACTACATGGACCACATGTAAGGACTACATGGACTACATGGACTACATTTAAGGTCTACATGGACCATATGTAAGGACTACATGGACTACAACACTACATGGACCACATGTAAGGATTTCTTGGGCTACTTTTTAAAGAGGCAACTAACGTGAAATCCGAGTCTTTGGCAGATATTGCGTGGAAGGAGAAGAAATAGAGTCCCGTGCATGGCGTTTCGAACTGCTGGCGCTTCTTGGACCAACCGCCGGTGTTTGTGAGAACGTCCTGGTACAAAAACATGGCAAATAAGCCTATGTATTTCATAACAATTCATATATTTCGCCTCCATATTATATTTCACCACATCCATATATTTCAGGAAAATCAGATGTTTCACCTCCATCATATATTCGACTATTCCAATATACTCCTATATATCACCACATTCGTGCATTTCACCACCATCACATTCTCGTATTTCCGGAGAATCATATTCAATCATGGAACAGTTTTTCGGATCCAGTTGCATCGGCCCCAATAGTGAACGGCTACAAATGTTGCATTGACTTTCTTTGGAAGGACCTGGTGGGAGCCTATTCGCCATCATGTCGGATGGTGGATTACAATCCTTGAAACGCTACCTCAAGCATTGCGCTGCGAACATGAGCGACGAACAGGCCTCTACGACCGAGGTCCTCAATCGTTTTAAAGTCACCTCAAGTCACGTATTCCACCTCAATCATATATTTCGCCATCATCACATGTTCCACTACAACCATATATTAGGTATAAATATTGTATATAAAATAAAGTAAGTTACCTGGAACGTAAGCCTGCGTGGCTTGCTTTTGTCAGTGTCTTGCGCGATGCCTTTCCGGACACTGAAGGCTGCTACGCACGGTCTGCTCGAGGGATAAAATGTAAATAAAGCTTTACAAGATGAATATATATGAAGCATATATATTCAATTCCACAAAATTTTAATTGATGATTGAAAAAAATTTTAAACATTTTTTTCTAAAATTGTAAATAATTTGAATTTTAATTGATAGTTGAAGACACTTTGCTCACCCTGATGTGACTGCCGTTGAAGGGGACTTTGAGTTCGAAGACGAATTTGCCAAAAATAACTGTCGGTTATCAGATTCTTTTCTGTCATTTTTATTATTATTGTCCCTGTTGTTTCCATCATGAGGATTGACTGCGCTGAATTGTTGTTGAACAAAGCTAGGTTTACCATCGTTATTGCCATTCTCGTTATTTATAATTGGATTGTGTTGCTGCACGACTGAACCGCTCTGAATGACGCTTACTTTGTTATGTTGGATGTTGTTTCGCGCATTAGCATTATTGAAGCCATTATTGTTACTCTGAAATTGGTTTAATATTAAGGGCAGTTGATTCTGGATATTGTTTTGATTATTGGTTGTTGATGTTAGGAGAGCCTGGTTGTTGTTATTACTCGTGACAGTTGTTATTGTTTGTCGATTAGATGCAGGTGTTGTTATCGTCCTGACAATTTGTAGTTGCTTGTTTGGATTGCTGATTGTATTACTTTGTTGATTGATGACGTTGGATTGGCTGTTCTGGCTGTTTGTGTCAAGAAAAGTTTGTTGGTGCACTACATTTATGGGCCTAATTTGATTACTGTTCAGGACAGTATTATGATTTAAATTATTTACTCTATTGTGATTACCGCTTGGGACACTCTGTGTGGTGATGAAATTGACCTGCTTGTTTTGATTGTCATTGTGAAAATTATGAGGACTAATGTGACTGAAGGGACTATTTTGATCGATCGTGTTAACTTGACTGTTAAGCACCAGCGGCTGCTCGTTCTGGTTCAAGACGACGTTGCCTCCTTGGTTCACTAAGTGACGTTTTTGCTGTACGTCCGTTGTGAGCGAGAGCAGCTCGGCCGCTTGGACCGTGGATCTCCCGATGCGGTTAATTCCACCTAATACGGTGGCCGCCATCGGGTCGTGCTCCAGCTCCGGTGATATTGGCGTCACGATGCTGGATGATAAGAGTCGCCTGCTGACTCGCTGTTGCAGAGATGAGTCATAGTTTCTGTCAATCGAGCGGTGGAGAGAAATTTGGGCTTCAGCTGAATGACTACAAATTATATGGAAAAATAGAGCCGCAAAAATATGAGTGAACCCAAATTTACTTGAATTTGACATTTTTGGAACAATTTTGTTTGAGTGGCAATTATGTAAGTACAGCCCGATAATATGAATATAGTATATGCTCGATTCTCTCTGAACCACTTATTGTACGCCTGTAAAATGCAGTGAAATATTATATTAACAAATGACATATTATTGTGCTACGCAAACTCTGTGGCGAGCGTGAGTGAAAGCAGCTAGGCCCGCTGACATTCCTTGTAAATAATGCAAAAAATGATGGCGTGGTTCGGCGTACTGCATTGTACGTGCTTTACAGAATAATGCTTTCACTTTCCTTTGGAGGCTTACTGAATTACTTCATTGACCGCATGAACTTCTCGTTAGCTTCAAAAGGGTATACTAGAAGTACTCACGAAACTGTCGTGAAACTGTTTTGAAACTGTTAGCACTCATGACACTGCCGCGAAACTGTTATGAAACTGTCATGAAACTAGTATGAAACTGTCATGAGTGCTGTTATCATGAAACAGTCGCGTAACTGTTATGAAACTGTCATGAAACTAGCATGAAACTGTCATGAGTGCTGTTATCATGAAACAGTCGCGTAACTGTTATGAAACTGTCGTGAAACTGTTATGAAACTATCATGAAACTGTCATGAAACCGTTATGAAACTGTCATAAAATTGTTATTAAACTGTCATGAAACTGTCATGAAACTGTTATGAAACTATTATGAAAATGTAATGAAACTGTTATGAAATTGTCATAAAACTGTTATGAAACTATCATGAAACTTTTATGAAACTGTCGCGAAACTGTTACTAAACTGTCATGAAACTGTTATGAAACTGTCATGAAACTGTTGTAAAACTGTGATGAAACGGTTATGAAATAGTCACGAAACTGTTATAAAACTGTCATACAACTGTTATGAAATTGTTATGGAACTGTCATAAAACTGTCATGAAACTGTTATGAAATTATCATGAAACTGTTATGAAATTGTTATGAAACTTTTATGAAATCATCATGAAACTGTCATAGAACTGTTTTGAATCTGTCATGAATTTGTTATGAAACTGTCATGAAACTGTTACGAAAATATTTTGAAACTGTTATGAAACTATCATGAAACTGTCAGCACTCACACTCTTTCGATTCTAACCACGTTACTTGGTGATATCTCTTCAAACAACCATTATACACGCTTATTTGCGAAAAACCAGGAAAAAAACAAGATGATACGAAATAATGGCGGTAATTTTAGACATTTCCTCCAGTGACATGATGTTGTTCGTCACTATACCGGCAATCCACACCTTGAAGAGTTCACCGGCAATTCACTTTCACTTCCAGACGCGATCAAGCTGAGGCGCAACGATCGATGCGACAGTGTATATGATGACGATTTCTTGCCATAGAAAGTTGAGCTAATTCATTTTTCACTGATTTAACTTAAATTTATGAAGCATCCAGATATAGTGGATCTGTTCTACAGAAGGCACCAAAATCCAATATATGCTTCGAAAACTGTGTACTGTATTTTTTCCATTGACATTTTCAGAGAATATTATTACAATTTGAATTTAATGCATTCATTCAATTATTGAATTATTAGTATATTTCTAATAAATTCAGTTGCACACTGAAGATTCAATATGTACAAGAAATTTGTTTTCAAATCCTGAAATCACTCTACACCATTCCACACCACATGATTCGGGACTCGCTCACGTAGCCCATATACAGTATAACTGCATAGGGCAGCAATACCACATAGCCATGCTGATCACCGCGTCATTCACATGTACCTTTGTTTATCGCATGGTGGATGTGTGTGCCCACACAGATCAATGAGTAGCACAACACATGGTGTATTTGTATGCCCACACAGATCAATGAGTAGCACAACACGTGGTGTGTATTTGTGTATACACGTTGATTAACGAGTAGCACATCCCACGGTATGTGCGCTCTCTTACAACTCTGTTCAGCAAATCATGTATGATTATGCATATGCTGTTATATTCGGGAGAAGTTCTTCCTTTACACAAATCATAAAAATCATTCTCTGATTGTTAATAAAACTTACATAATATAGGTATGTATGAATGAGTAGACAGTCACACTTCTGTGAATGATAAACTACTCGTATCTGTATTTACACACACCTCCGTGTAGCACAAGTAACGTAAGCATTTCTTGGAGTGAATTTCATATCTTTAAAAAAGCATCTCACACTTTGATGAAGAAGCACACACTGTGTTTTAATAAGCACATACTTCTGTGCAACACACCTCACTCGTATATTACATACCCCATCACATACACACATGCTCTTGATTTACTCGACACCAACGTACATGGGTATCTCTACATTGGCCACGGTAGCACATAGCCCGAATGAGACGCGCGTCCTCCCGCCCTCTCGTCTGTACCGCGACACTTCGGCCGCTGTACTTTCACTTTCTAGGTTATGTCTGAGCCGCGCTAGAGACGATTCCGCGAGAAACAGAACGGTTCATTAGATTTCAAATGCGAATCATGAAAAAGAGGTCCACGGTTAATAAAAGTTTGCCGTAAAGGAATTACGTATCACTCGCTGTGTTGAAATTAGAATATTGCTTTCGGTAGCATGTAATTAAGAGTGTTAACTGCAGTTTGAAAAGTGAAATGCCACAAAGCTTTATTTTATAATATTTATTATTTGGACTCTTATAATGCTTATTTTTTATGAAAAGGGGCTTGAAAATGTCAACGGTTTTTAAAGTTTTAACAGCAGTGGTTGAAAGCTGCCAAGGTAAAAAGATTACGTTACTTCTACCGTGAGTTAAATTTTTGTGGCGTATTTAAGCGTACATAAGAATTCACTGATATCTGAAGGGATATGTTGACTTGGTTTTTCAGGTGCTTTCTCACTCGAAGAATTTGCCTGCTTAGTGCTTAGGCTAGAAATGTGTAGCACATGACAATTTTTGTCTAAAATATCTTCCACCGCTCCAGAGAGATGGAAAATTAAAAGCATCAAATTCGATCGGACTGACAGTTATTCAATATATGAAAAAACATTATCTATTCATTTACTTACAAGAATTTGTACACGTGCTTTGCTAATCACCCCTATTCCAGATGTTCAAAAATAGATTGAATTGCGATCAATAAACTAGATCTAGACTTATGTTGAAATTTATCATGAGCTTTTGCACCACCATTTGTTCGCTCACAAAAGGATAACCTAATTGAGCTGACCAATGACTTATTTAAATCTTTCCATTCCAAGTTTATAATCCGATGAATTTAAAACGTTTATCAAGGTTTTTTCTTCACTTTTTTCGTAATCCGCGCTGTTTGCCCTGCCAACGTTCACATAAAGGTTGGGTGTGTGTGCATTTTTAAGACTTTCTATGTGGTTCCCGTGCATGACCTTACATAACCGGATAAGAAAGCTTGCACACATCCATAAAATCACATACGGGCCTGATTAGGGCAATTCACTGGTAACAAATAATGTTACGGTGGTTTCTGCAAAGATCTATCCAGCCGAAATTTTTACAATCACCACAAAAATCATTGATAAAGATACCACATACTGAGGTGGACAAAAATATCGCATCTCCAGGCAAATGACGTTGAAAGAACGTTCATCACGAATTGATTTCAACAAAATAATGTTTTATTAACATTATTTCGACATCAGATGCCTGGCATGACATGAAGCCGTTAAATCAAAGCGCCCTAAGGGCGAGCGCACTTCACATCACCTCACGCGACGGGCTGCACTTTGAGACTGGAAGTGAACAGCCGCGTCAGGCTGCCTCCAATGCACTCAGTCCGTCCATCCAGCAGTAAAAATTGGCGATATTTTAGCTTATGATTTAGATAATGTAATGGCCGTATTGCTCCAAATGCGGAATGAATGGCTATAACAGAACTATTGTTTTGAATTCCAGAAATATAAATGGTGATCGTTTCCGGGTGCAATTTCCGTATTTCAGTATATGATAGACATTTAAACGAAATTGGATGCTTGATAGATATCATAACTCAAATGTCAAAATCAACTTGACAACTCGAATGCTAAATTCAGCATTCCTGATAACCAACCAATATTTCTGTGCAAGGGAAACTTTCTGATTGGGTCAAATTGGCTCGGAAAACTGATTTACGTATGGCAGCTTGAATATTCAAGGATATGAAATACGTTTTCTTTAATAGAGACACTCATATAAGCAAGCTTGTGCGTTTGCTTGAATTCAATATGCATTACCACAATGATATTATTGTTTCAATTTTCCTTGACGACAATTTATTTTGTTATTGATCAACATAAAATAATTATTTCTCAATGGCTCATTCAATTTTAATGCGACTTGAATTTTCGTGGCGAATCGTACCCCACCTGTCGACAATAATTATCGTGAGTATGGATTTTTTCAGCAAACTTTCTCTATTAAGACTGAAACTGTTACATTAGCATATATGAAATGTTAATTATCGGCTATTTATTATATTGTATTTAATTTCACAATGGAGGTTTGGTTTGAGATATGAGATTATTTCTATTTGGCAATACGCTTATTATTATTCGAAGATGCCAAAGACACTTTATGTAATATTACTGCGTTTTGAATATAATTAGTCATTTTCAAGCAAAGTGATGGTTTTTAAAGGTTTAAATGTTCAAAGTGACATATAATTGTGAAAATTGGGTATCATGGATAGAAATGGAAAATTAAAAATTAAAATTACTCTGAGAATAAGACCAATGTCCACACAAAGTGCATATTTTATTAGCGAAACCTAATATTAAGAAGCAACTTCTGCCTTACGATGCCATTACAAATGACTTAATGCACTTTCCGTTTTGTTTATGTTATGCATTTTATATTAATTTCATCCATTTTTTTGGAATGTTTCTTACTCCCGTGATCGTTCATCACGAGGCCACTCTTCTCAAATTTATCCATTTTTCAAAGAATTTGTCCTGTTAATATGAAACTTTTCTTTACCAGCTTTAAATTTCTTGAGGTAAATTTATTTTCATTGTAATTTCTAAGAAAAATTTGCACTTTCATCATGCCTATGGGTCCCCAACCGCCAAGCAGTCGACGCGGAGGACATTCGGTGCAACAAAGGAATCATGGTCACGGTCATCTGGTCAATGGCAGAAAAATATCAATTGTTTAACGGAAATTAAAAAGAGTTTTTTAATTCCTTCAAGCTCAACGCCAAGGGCAAGCCATTTCCTTCGAAAAACTGCACCCAAATTAGCAATGACTTTTTATGATAACGCAATATTCCGTCGGCGGAGATGATACTTCAAACAGAATGAGCAGTTACAGTGAAAAAAGGCAGAAAAAGCTACTTATTGCTGAAAATGGGCTAATAAAGACGAACGCGTCAGAAATTAACCTTAATATAGAAGTTTTAATAAATAAGTGATATCAAAGACAAACTCGTCAGATATAACGCATAATGAACCGATTAAACTTTTCAAATCAATTACAATTGTAATTATTCTTACACACAATGCACTGTATTTCTGCATATCGTTATTTTACTGCTGTATTATTATCAGTAATATTCTGCCAGAAATGAATATTTTATCTCGCAGTACAAATTCTGACACAGAAGCGATCACTGCATATATCATTGGCCCTTTCAGATTCGGACAAATGAATACGGCTCGAAAATAATCCGGCGTCAACATCAATTAGTTGTCCGTAATTGACAGCAGCTCCAATAGTCGGCAGTAATGAGCAACTTTAATTAGAAATCATTTTCGGTTCCTTTAATTGAGCTGCGGAAATTCACGCGTGCCTGCCAAATTAATCTTCTGTTTCATCTTCGTTTGAATTCTTCCGCTGTTGAACTTAACATTGCGAAGGACTGGTGCAAATTCCTGTCAATATTTAGTCTAGCCGATAACAGCCGAAGCGTGAGCTGCCAGACTCTATAGGATCAACATTTTTACTTTGAACCCCTTCGCTGAACCCGGAAGTGCATATGAATATTTTTTGATATTCTCACTCTCATCGAAATATAAGGAACATGTTTATTCATTTAAATTGATCATAAAAGTTATTTTATTATTTCATTATTTTCATATTATTATTTTCCAGATTTATTATTTCAAAATTCCATATAAAAATAATTTCGTGTCTCTAGAGCAAACGAATGCTTATAAATAATTTAATTTGATAAGTCAAACTTATAATTCTTGTGGCGTCAGTCGCGACTTTTTTTTTCTCCGCCAAGTCTGAGGTCGTCGGATGTTTTCCTCGCCTCGAGGACTGCCGGCAAGCCAACGACTGGGCCGCCGTAAATATTTACTTCTAAATATTGTCTCGCCTCAAATTAGATAAAGTGAAGGCCACGAACTGACAAAACATCGCAATAAATAACCTGCATGCGCACTTTATCGTGATCAATATTTTATATTCAACTTAGATTTTCATTGGATGTCTGTTTTGGAACAATCCGCAGTATTCTGCGGATTATTCCATTCGCTTCCAATTACTTTGGATATAAACTACGTATTTCTTGCTCATGGATTGTAGAATTTTTAACTACAATTAACATTTGAATTGTGTCTCTTTAAACATATGACATTGTATGATTGTTTCAGGTTTCCTACACGTATATTTTGAGAGGAATTCGTGGGTTTGCTGGAAGCATTGTTGGATGTGCGATAATTTCGTGTCCATTGCAGGATTATTACAAGTCTGCAAATTGTCGCCGACAAAATAAACTGGAAAGAGAGACGAATGTCAGGCAATTGAGCTAAAACTAATTAAATCTTTAGACGAATCAAGATGAAAGAATAGTACTAGCAGGCCGAAACGTAAATTTGGTAAATATTTTTTCTGTTTAGTGCCAATTCCTGTTCATTTTTTTTTCCTTGAGAGAATTATATAATGTTAGGAAAGGCTTTTTATAACGCCAACTCTACTCTGAATTTACGCACGGATAAATTATTTTGATGAATAGTGACTTTACCTCCACAATCAATGCCAAGATCAATTAAAAAATTTGTAACATTTATTTCCAACGGATTAACCAAGTATCGATTTTCCATTCAATTGAACTGCAATTTTTATGACGTTATTAGGGAGCAAGCCCATTGTGACCAGTTTCCTGTTCGTCATTAGAAATTCCACCTAAAATTTTAAATTGCGAGCGGCAGAGTCAACGTTGATGAGCAACTAATGGAACCTCCACTGGGAATGACACTCGCTGCCAATGCCCTTGTGGGGAAAGAGTTAATTAACGGAATTTCGGTCCCGGAATGTGGCTTGAATAAAAGTTAGTGCAGAACAAGTGTTATTTGACGGTACATAATTCAGTTACTTTAAAGTAAAATTTAATACAATCGCTGAATATGAAACTAAGGCAGATATTTTTATCACAATTTTCATAATGCTTATGTAGGAAATAAAGCCATTTCAATGCTATTGAAATGGCTCATTTTCAGGTCAATACGCTTGACCTGAAAATGTTCAAAATGGGAATAAGATTAGAAAGAAATTAGTCTTTTCTAAATTATTTATGTTCTCTCATTATGTGTTGTGAACTCCTGTGTGAAATAAGAAAGAGTAAAGACTATTTTTACGAGCACCCCAACTTAACATTTAAATAGCTAACTGTTCGTCAAAAATTTTTTGAGCTCACCTTCGGAAGTTGGAAGCGACAATAAATCAATGGGCCCTGTGAGGTGAAGCAAGAAGGCGTAATGCATGCTGGGCGAGTTGCACAGACAAGAGGAAACGTTTCAAGCAAAGCTCAGTATTGATGTTCACGCACCACTTTTGCCTAATTTACCCAGAGATTGTGTTGAAATCATTCATATAGACTTTTATTGACGACCGTTGCTTGTAGCTCAATACACATATGTAGTCTAGCAACAATAAATACTAATATTTAATTTTGCCATAAAAAGGAACATTTTTTGAACGCGTAAGTGATGTGCGCAGTGAAAATTCCCCCGGTGTTGCCCTGCCAGCATTCACAATCGATCCCCCGTTTGCGGGTAACTCGAAGAGTTTAGGGAATTTTCGCTCAACTTGTACTTGCGCCCCAGAGGTAGTGAGACCAGTGTTCAACTGGCAGTCTCGGGGATGTGTCTCAGGTTCATCTTGCTCCTAGACGAACATCTGCTCTAACAATCGCTCGCACTATTTTACTAACAATTTTTCTATGCATTCCGCGTTACGAATTGAATTTTTTCAACTAGTGTTCAGTAACAGAATATAATGCGTAAATTATTTCCGTAGAAGTCTTCTCGAATCACTTTTCTGAATGAAAGATTTTGGAATATTCAAGCCGAAGAACTCGTCCGCAGTCTCAACTGTCGAAGACTTAAATGTGTATTATCAGTTAATTCATGTCATGCCAGCGGAGCAGTAAGAATTACAACAAAATGTACTCGTGGAATTCTATTCGCGCAAATTGATATTAATTATTGTCTACCCAATAGACTCTCATATTAATTAGCTTACCTGCAGACAGAATCCGGAACATCCTATGTTTAAGACGTTCAATTTCGGGGTGAGAATGAAGAATGGAGTCATTTGGCGATTATTGTAGGACAGTAATTTCAATTCAGTTCACAGATTAAAAAATTATTATAGTTTCATGCCCATATTCTCCTTTTTTGCAGACGCTGACTGGTTACGATTAAGGTGGTACTGAAGACCAAACTTGTGATAGCTTTTTGCTGTAATGCAATCTTATGATGCCTAGTTATATGCATTATAAGTCGATGTATCGAGTTGTATGACCATTTTATTTCTAGTGACTTTTGCGAACGATTAAATTTGTGCTGAAATTTTAATTCCTCTGCACAGTGACTGCAACTTTATATACAATCTTGAAGTAAACTGCTTCCAGTGACAGAATCAAGCGTATATAGTGGATCATAATTCAACGTCCCCGCAAGCGTCTCTCAATTGGATTGGCCTGTGGCTATAGACGGCTGCGTTGTTCTGAATAACAGAGGACAATTGAGTGGATAAGATGGATATTAAAACATTCAAAGTGTGCGTGGGACTGGGACCAAGGGCGCTGGTGCTGATGGTGCTCGCGTCCATCGTACTTCTGACGTCGGCCACTCCGCTCATCTACCCCGACACCGCAGCGCTCGGCCAGCGCCTCTACAAAAGAGCTCCCGGTGAGGTGGGCTCCGAAGTGGGTGCACGTACGGGAATTGTCTTTTTCTTGATCTTTCTTGGTTTCTTATTTTTTGCACATTGCTAGACGAGGTTTTTCTTTTTGCATGATCACTAGACCAAAGTTTGGTTAGGTTATGCGATCCCTAGGCAGATTTTTTTTTTTTTTTTGTTTCCTGGCGCAATGGCAGAAGGGACGCTTGATTTCGGAGCCATGATTTCTTGGTACCGCATCGCGAGACCAAAGCTTGGTTTATGACGAGATCGTTATATCGAACCCATGTTTTGGGGCACAACCTCGATTTTCAAGATTTGTGATAATTACTATAATTTCTATAATATAAAGAACATAGTGATGTTTTTATGACGCTGTCGCGGGATTATATAATTTTTTGTTATTCCGTACAGATTTCTTGTAAACGCATAGATTCACGGAAATTGTTATTTTTTTATTCAATCCATCCTCCCACTTTTGAAATTGACTCAGGATTCCAAAATTAAAATTAAATTATCGGGTCTTGATAATATTTCTACGCGATCATTGTTATCAAAGTGTGCTCAAGTAAGCTATACATATTTTCAAGGTCAAGTTTTAAACACAAAAACTTTCGAAAATATGTAATAGATAATTTCAAAAGATGTTGAAATTAAAAATGAAATGAGAAAGAATAGATCACGAATTCATTAATTATTTCATGCATATTCGATCTACTTCACAATAACGAGTCAAACTATAAAAAAGACTTCGAAGTTATATTGGCTTAGTTTGTAGCCAGATTACAAAATAAGTAAAAACATGACTCTCCATTTTAACTGTGATAATAATAATAATAGAAAGTAAGCAGAAAATTCTATAGTTTAACATCAAGATTTTTATTAGCATCTATACTTATTATTATTCACATGGTATAATATTTATTGCATAAAATATGGGTATTATAAGCTACGTTCAAGGTGAATGAGTACAATTTTTTCATTGGGCACATGACACCTACGGCATAAGCGTTATCATTTTCGCATTGGTCGTCTTCTTATGTTAAAACACTAACATTAATAAAGTAACTCAGCCGAAATTCTCTAGTAGTGGATTTGCTAGTACAATTAAGTCATGAGAATAATTAAGACTGGTATTATATGCTCTTCAAAAAATTATCCATGCCGTGTCGGAAGGTGTGCATCTCTCAATTCTCAATAAATAGAAGATTGGAAAGTATTCAATTTACGCCTAAATGTGCTATATGCATTGTAACACATATGGCTTGTTGAAGCATGCAATTCCACATCGAAGTAGTTTACATGGTCATGAAACTCCTGACATGCGACGCTGTAAAAAGATAGTTGAATACTGGTTGTAATATCCGTAGAGTTTTTCTAAATGCAACCAGGAAAATATATTTATGCAATGACTGTTGAAGAATTTTAAATGACTGACAACAAATTTGTTGACAACAAAATTGGTCTACGCATTTATTTACTCTGTAAAACCTTGCGGAAATTCCCATTGATGATGATAAACATATTGCCAAACGGGCAGTTTTCTTCAATTCAATGTATGAAAATGTAAATGTATGAGCTAAATGTATGTTAAATGTATGAGCTTCAAAACTTCAAGTTAAAGTCTCTTAACTTGAGAAGTTACGATGCAATTCAATCTTCACTGTAAGGAGATAGGTTCTTACATACATATAGATAGGTTCTTCTTTGAGAATCTCATTTTGAATACAGCAACACTTGAAAAATCTCGCTCAAGTAGCGCAGCACTTACGTGAGTCCGAAAAGTTGACGGCATTCTCTAGACACAGCTGAAGTTCTAAATCTCTTGTCCAAAAGTCGGGGATTCGGGCCGGAAATGAAAAGCTCTGCATAGATGATTTCATTGTCTAACTTCTAATTTGATTCGAAACTCCATTCACTGGTAATCAGAAGTACGTTATGCATTCTGGCTAGTTAGAACAGATGTTCTCTAGGTTTTTTTTATTAAAATCAATGTAAAAACCTTTTAAATTTGTATTTATTCAATTTCCTGCACAATTCATAAGTTATTACCGCCGTCCTTCTGCATAGAATTTATGCCGTTTTCGCAAAAAAAGCTAAACTGACATTTTCTGATTTTTTTGTTTTATCTGTCTTTTGGTTTAAATTGGGAAAATATGGAGACATTTGTATATGAACTCCCGACAGAACCCTTCAAGAAATTTTTTGATTGCTCTTGAAATTAGGGGTTTGGCACTAGGGGTCGGCCTGATAAACTCGTTAATTGGAGTGTACACATGGGCTGAATATTATGACGATATTTGTCACAGAATTTGAAAGAAAGAACAATATTTCATCAATTACCATAAATAACAGCATAATATTAGCCAGCTACGTTGAAGTACTTCAACAATTAATTAAAAACTTTGAAAATTCTGAACAACCCTACATAAAAAATTGTAGACGTACATGCATTACGAATTCAGAATATATACAGCATACCAACATGTTTGTAAAAAAATATTTTACCTGCTTTTTTATTTATGGCTGTAAGTTATTCTGAATTTTTAGGATATTGGTTTAATTTATCCACATTGGATGTTCTATGAACAGACACTGGCTCGCACTCGAGGGACTTGATTCGTGCTTTATTTATATGAATTAGTAATAAATGCTAAAATTAATGATTTATTTTCAATTTATAAGAACAAGGGCAAACGAAAGCAGTTAAAACGGCAAAACAAACTTAATAATTACTAATAATCAGCCTGCCATACAGGCTCGATCAATATCATTTCCTTCAATGATGCTCGAAATTCTGGCATTTAATTCAAATTAAGATTGATTAATGAATAGCTCTAATATCACTGTTCATTAAAAATCGTTATATCCATCCTCAATCAAAACTTGCTTTTCGTCAAATTCTGCTGAAGCTTCATATGAGTTTAGTGGAGGGAGTTTTCGGAAAAATATCTGCATGATCCTATAATATATTCTAGTCTTAGAATTATTCATATTTGACGGCCACGGCAGATGAAAGATGGTAAGTCTTAAGGCCCCGGAGGATCGTAAGTCACGTTAAGACACACTTTACAACCTGCCGCTACAAGAGAAATGCCTCCCTGGGTTCCAAGTGGCATAGCGAGAAAAGATACCACGTCACCGTACGTGACGTTCGAAGGCTCGGTTACTGGATGCAAGAGCCGGACAAATTTATAGAAATTTCATCAGGTCTATTGAACATTATTCGTCGCTAAGGACTCTCTAATTTTCAAGTGTTTGCTAGTAATACGTATTTTAATCTTACAAGAGTAGACCTTCGTATTCCGCAGACATCTAGTGTCATGAAAATTATTTATCTTCGATTTTAGTACCCAAATGCACTTGGATTGTCTGCTTATGGCGGCTTGATTGCAACTGTATTCTTAATAAGCAACTGTATTTTTTTCTCTTCATTCATTTAAGAAGAATTCAAGTTGGGGCAGGGTGGCCCAGTGTTAAAGTTCAGAGTGCAAGGATTGAAGCAGAGAGGTGCGGGTTCGATCCCAGCTCTGTGCGCCAGTTTCTGGTCAGAATCGGCGAGGAGGCCGGGCGGTTAAGCACAGCAGAATTGGTGCATTGAGTTATGAGTTCGAGACCGCAACAAGCTGTGAAACGCTATATTATTATATGTAATCAAAATTTTTCTCACAAACTCCACCACGTTCTAACCCGAACACAAAAATCTGTTATGTAATAAATTATTCGCAATGGCAAACAGTTCTTAAGTAATGCTGTGCACACAATTTAAAAACTTACGTATCCCCTTGCACGTAGCAGCTGTACAATTTACGCAGGAAGAGTAAAAATATAGAACGGAAAAATTATTAACATTTGAAGCATGTAAAGGTCATGCTCAGGCCGAGACAGGTGGGCAGACTAGCGCGGGAGAGACCTTGAATGGAGTACAGGAGAACGACGATGGATCGATCTCCATGTATGGATTGTGGTTGACGAGCCACCTGAACGCTAGCCAACCTCTGCAATGTGGGTCAGGTCGTTCCATGGTAACTATGGTCGTACCATGGTACCATTTTGGGCAAGAATAATCAAACTCTTGCACAGAACGACCGTCCATAGTACAAAGTTGTCACCATTGTCGCAAACTTGGAGCAGACTGCGGTTTTAATTGATGTTAGTAGCCTGCAAATACCGTTTCAAAAACTTATGATATGATGAGGACTGGAATTTTCGCGCCTTAGAGCAGGTTTTCACTTTTACGAGAATGAGACCAGTTTTTAGACTATGAACGAAGCAGAATGAGATAGTAATAGAACACAATAATATCGAAGAAGTAGCAGTCACTACAATTTCTTTTGTTCTACATTTAATGAGAAGGCACTACAAATTTTTTTAATGCATTGTGATTACATCAATGCCACCCCAAAAAATGTTAGTTTTGACGCTAAGCTATTCAATTCAGGCGTTCCGTTGAAATAAGATAGCAGCACCGTCCATTTCCCGGACGTTTGGAGCAGCTGTCGCACTTCTGCAGTGAGACGAACACCGTCATGACGCTGCTCATTTGGAGACTAAATGCGGATTAGTGAGAAAGGATTCCCGGAATCGGGTTGAATGGAATACGATTTTCTTCTATTCCTGGGCAACTAATCAGCTCCATTGAATAGGACTAGCTCTAAATGGCACGTTCATTCTCAATAACCTTAAACAAAGTCGTCTAAATAGATTTTAAATGCACGGTATTATATTATGAACAGTGGCGAATAAGCTTTGGAAAAGTGAAGAAATTTTGTTGTGTAGACAGATGATTAAATTTTGCAGACTTTCAGTATAAGTGGGGGAATTCATGAGGTAAATACTCTTTATTTCACGATAAAACCTGCCATCAATGAAGTTTCAAATTTGATTTAAAAATTTGGAGCAAATCTAATTTGACAAAATTTAAATCGAAATTTGTCGCCACAAGCATCAAGAAGTACTCATTCTTAAAGCATTAATATCTAAAAGCATTATATTTTTGCTAGAATTTTATTATGCCTAAGTAGTAAATTTAAAAACAGATAAGTAGAACAAATGAATCAGCTGTTTTGTTTTTGTCATACACGAGCAAAAGTTTTCTGCTGGTCGCTGTTTAATGGAAAAAAATTACAATCCTATAGAACAAAATGAAACCCAGATTCCGGTAGATCGGTGCATTCACATAAGATCACAAGACAAAATCCAACAAAAGAATCAACTTAAAAGGAATAAAATTATTATTATTAAAGGAATAAATAAATAACGGAACATACAATTGCTCGCCTCATTCATACTCCTGTCCCAACGGACAAATTAACAATAACGAAGTAGTCGACGAAATGAAGGAACAAAGTAAACGAGGGTCGAAGCTAAAGTTGTTATCCTGAGGATATGGCTGTCAGATACTTATATGGCAAGCGGGGAAAAACAATTCAAAATATCGCTGAACTGTGGCATGTTACAGCGCAATGCAATACAAATATTATGCAATTAAAAATAGTACGCATGATTCATACAAATTGATTTCTCTTGATGGAACTACAGTGAGGTTTCTCTTGACAAAGAAACCATTTCCATCTCCTGCATATCTGATATCACAAGGTATTTTAATGTATTTTGTGGTCTAGATGCAGCCGAATAAATCTGTATGAAATATGCCAAACTATTACTTTATTTACACAGAACACAAAACATATAATAATACAAGATAAAAATGGAAAAGTAAAATACACAGAATACTTCCTAGTGCGCCTGAATGCTCTTGTTAGACACTTTGCAGGCAACATGGATGGTATAAAAATTATGTTAAATAATAATGGGATAAAGATAAGAGAACAGAAATTAACTAATATTAAAAGATTATCTTAAACTAGCCTTCCATGAAACTGGCAGCAACATGTCGCCTAAACATGAACATAAGGGAGACAATAACAACACTACAGTAATTAACAACAACACTGCAATAAATTATATAACTTTACACTAATTAATAACGGCATTATATTAATTTATTACAAACACAACTCTATTAAATTTAACTTAACTTCAGAGATTTTTAGTCTTTATAGAATAAGCGTCATCTACGACACTACGACGAAAATACTATTTAAAGATGACAACTAAAATGAAACATCATAGTAATAAGTAAACACTAGTTCGCGAAAATTATACATATAATAAATCTTTCACCTTTAGAGACCAGAAATTTCAAAGCAAGACTCACTGGAAGCCGATGGTGATTCAAACCTACCTCTTCAGCGAATTTAAATTATAACAGATTTTAAATTATAATAGATATGTTCTCACAACTCGGACTACACAACAAGTCAGTTTGAATATCAATACCCCTTTCACGAACATTGAAGCCCCATTCACTGACCGTGTCATAAAAAAATCTCTATGTGGTACAGCCCCTGCAACTTGTCCACGAGACGGCACCCTTCGCTAAAGCTCGTCGGCTTACGGCAGTGCAGAATAATTCCATCATTTTTGCCAGGTACATACGCCCGTATATTTGCCGTGGCTTGAAGCCATTCGAAGTTTAACTTGCAAATGGCTTGCAATAATTCCAGAATGATGCGTGCACAGTTGCTGAGTAAATTTACCGCTCGGTCAAAACTGAGGACGTTGAACTGGACGTCTTAATTTTGTTTAATGTCTCAAGATATAATGATTCAAAGAGATTGCTTGCAACGCAATACAGAAATTTTAGTGACTTTATGATGACATTCACAGAATAATTGCGTTTGAACATTTCTGTGCTAGTTGCTCGCTATTTATATTGACTGCGAAAAAAATCGGTCTCCTCATCAGACCCTCTGAATGAGTGCACCGTTTGCTGATTGATCTTAAGCACACAATTTTATCGAAGATTTGAGCTTTAAATTTCGAACGCAGTAACGAAAATTATGTTATTTTACTACACAGTACCTTTCGCATGACTACCGTGTTTGCTTGTGCATCGCTCACGGTCGAGTAAATTATTTGCTAAGCGTCGCTTCTTCAGTGTAGTGCTTGGAAGGGTTTCAGCTCACTTTTGTGCGCTTAAAGAGCATGGTAAAAATACAGATGCGTATCCTAGAGAACTCTAGACGCTATTTCCTCCAGATCCACAAGTTAAAGGATGCACAACTCCTGCATTATGGTGTCTGTGGACTTGAAAATTCGTCCGTGTGTGCCAAGAAAATTCTTCGTAGGTCTACACTCGGCCATTGTAATACATTTAATCATACTAGGCTTGCAATATAAATTTATTTGTGTGTTGTTAAACAATTAATATGATGGTAATTTTCAAGAGATATATAATTAGCATTCCATAACCAATCGCACGCCTTCTTGTTTTGACAACAATGCTTCCCGTCTCGTGACAACTAAATTAGCAGTATACTTAATTAGTATACTGATACTCTGAACAAAATTTAAACGGTATAAAGCATTTCAGAAACCAATAAAGAGTTTTTGATATTTCATTTACTAGATGAAAGCGTTTTAATGCAAGTTTGTGTCATTCAACGTAAGTGCGCAGTCAATCACTCGTGAATCTTGCTGCAGACAAATCGATGCAGCTAGACTGCGTGGGAAGTCAATTCTTTGATTAGATTTTCCATCGTGTTGATTGAATAGAGATCTTCGTTTTCGCGTAGTGGGAAAACTAGATTCCATTAAGAGTTTTCTCAAGTATTTGAGAGCTTTTTTTAACTTTTCAGGCAACTAGGCATTGTAATATTAATGAACTTGCTCTCGTATTCCGATCAAAGAACTCTCAGCATTTTAAGGTGCTCCTTTCACGCTCGCATTCTCTTTGTTATATGACTAACATAAATTCTAGGTTAATATCTAGTGTGTTCAAATTATAATAATGCAAATAACCATCTGATATTAGAACAGGTTGAAAACTCATTAAATTCGAAGAGCTGGTTGATTCTCGAGATAAGGATATGAACAAATACGAGTCTCATTTATTAAATAAAATATCAAAAGTCGCCACAGAAAATTTTTAAAGCAAGGTAGATTACTGCCTTCAGATAAAAAATATGAACCTTCGGTGTTCTGTTAATTGCACAAATTTCCGAAGTATATGATGATGAACGTTCCGATAATGATGATGGAAATATGGAAATCATTTTTTATTAACAGCCTGTGGATGAATGAACAAGCTGTTCTCCGTATGAGACAATCAACCGAGAGGCAGATTAAAATCATTCACTGAATCAATGGACCGTGATGCACATTATTTTTTGCGAAGTCAATCGTGAGAAGGATTCCTGATTTAGACAATAAACCTTGTGTGGGATTGTTGATATAGGCGATGGGTCCAGAACAAGATTCCTGATTAATACGATGGACGGTGACGAGAGATGATGACGAAGGCCGTAGAGAGGAAGGAGGATCGTTGATTATGACGACAAACCTTGAGTAGGACCGTTGATAGGCATGATATAATGTGAGGAGAACTGTTGATAAAGGCGATTAACCGTGAAGAGGACCATTTGATCAGACAGATAAACCGTGAGAAACGCCGTTGCTTGAGACGTCATACCGTTAGCAGGAACGTTGAAAAAGACGATAAACCGCGAGGAAAACCGTTGCTAAAAATGACGGAGAGGCAGGATGACTATTGATAGAGACGAGCGAGTGGGAGGGGGCTGTTATTACAGGCGATAAATTGGGAGGAGGCCCATTGATAAAGACGATAAACTGGGAGGAGGACCATTGATAAAGACGATAAACTGGGAGGAGCACCATTGATAAAGACGATAAACTGGGAGGAGGACCTTTGATAAAGACAGTAAAGTGAGAGGAGGATCATTGACAAAGACGATAAACTGAGAGGAGGCCCGTTGACAAAGACGATAAACTGAGAGGAGGACCATTGACAAAAACGATAAAATGGGAAGAGGACCATTGATAAAGACGATAAACTGGGAGGAGGCCCGTTGATAATGAAGATAAATGGGAGGAGGCCCGTTGATAATGACGATAAAATGGGGAAGAGACCGTTGATAAAGTCGATGAGCCGTGAGGAATACCGTTGATATTTCTCTCATTTCAGGCGAGGGCTACGGCAGCCCTCAGCTGTACAGCCACTACAACAGCCGCGGCGGAGTGAGGGGCGGCATGTCTTATGGGCCTCAGGGTGAGCTTGTCATTCTTGCCTCTTTGCTGTCGCAGAATCTTGCTCATTCTTATCCATTGTCTTTATGGCATAAAAATTCCGCTTGTATAAATATTAAACACAAAGTAAATGTGTACATATATGGCCCTCAAAGTAGTGTGTATAAGTGGCCTCCAAAATTAATGTGTTCATATGGCCTACCGTAGTACATGTGTACAACTGAACCCATAAGTAAAGTGTACCCATTGCCCCCAAATTAATGTGTACATTTGGCCCGCAAAGTTAATATATACCAACGGCCCCAAAGTAAATGTGTACATATGGCCCCCAAATAAATGCGTTAATAGTTTTCTCACAGTAATGTGTATAAATGGACAAAATTAATCTGTAAAGTTTAGCCTTCTATTAGTGTGTACCTCTAGCCTACGAAATGAACCCTGCCATATGGCGTCAGTTCAAGTTATTGAAACTAATTGTCAGAAAAGCATCCTTATCATTTTAAGCAAAGCCTCGATATTTAAGTGATCGTTGTCTTCCCTGCAAATTTGAAAATAGAATAACAAATTCGCAATTTTATCCACAGTTAAACATATGCTAAACAAAAGATTAAACTTTTCAATTAAGAATCGCAAACAACCATACCTCAGATTATTGGAATGACTGGTAAAATAAGTTAATCTTTTGTGCTTTCATAAAACGTTCACAGATAGAAGAACATCCATTCGAAGCGATGGCGATGAAAAAATCCGAAACGATTTCGCTGTGGCAAAATTGTGCCACCATTTTTTTTGCAGGGGCAAAATAGAATATTTATTTTCGCTATAGAACACATTGTGATAATTGTTATATAATTGTTTCGAATGTTTATATTAAGCTACTTAAATATCTTGCATGGACTGAAATTCTGTTGAAACTCCGAAACTCGTATGAAAATTGGGTTGAATCATAAATCAATTGCGGAGATAATTATTAAAGACGAGCTTGTCGAGTCTTCATCACATTGTCATTCATCTTCACACGCGTTCACTAACCAAATCTGTCCGCCGACATACAGGCGACATCATGTACAAAGATCATTCATTGCACACTGGAAAAATAATTTAATTTCTAAAAATATCGCATTAAACTTTAAATTCTTCAACCCCGCAATAACTTGCAATTGGTGATTCTTAGCAATAAAAGGCGAGAAAATCGAGAAGTGCTTAGGGATCGCAAACGAATTTAAATAATTTTCTCATGATTGGATGTTGGAAGTAATTAAAACAAGATCAGTTGTGCCTGATATAAACTGAAAGCTCAGTTCACATCAATTCATAGTCCTCAGTTCACATCAATTCCTAGTCATCAGTTCACATCATGTGATATGAACTGAGGATATAGTCGTCTATGTACTAGAAACTTCACACTGACATGTAACTAATTAATACATGTAACTTCGCACTGACATGTAACTAATTAATACATGTAACTTCACACAGACATGTAACTAATTAATACATGTAACTTTGCACAGACATGTAACTAATTAATACATGTAACTTCACACAGACATGTAACTAATTAATAAATGTAACTTCGCGCTGACATGTAACTTATTAGACACAATCGAAACCTTACTCGAGGCCAGCGCCCGCATCATGGCTTTCAGCATAAAGTGAAATACGAAGTGACCTCCATAATTATTAAGGAAATAAATTCGATCAGCAACATAAAATGAGAATGCGTACTCAGGTGGAAAAAAGGCCGCCGTATTATAAAGAAGTTACCAAAATAGAACTCGGTGCGCATGATTCAAGATATATACAGTTGCTCCGGATTGCTGGTTCGAAGCATTGAGCCTTTAGTAATACAGAAGACGAATTTTATTAGTTGCTGGATAGAAATATCGTTTCTTTTCCATATCCATAAAATAGTATCTACAATTAATAAAATTATATTCTGACCTGTTATGAGGGAACCCATTACCATACCTAATATAAATCCTCGCATTTTAATGAAAGCATTTCACAAGACCCCAATAGTAATCATTTCGATTTAACAATAAATTTTTGCTCTGCAGCATAAGCTGTCAACTCTAACCCCAACAAAGCATAACTGGCTTTGTCATTTAAGACATGTTTATGATATCAATGAATTTCGCCATTAATCAATAATTGTTGTATAATAGCTCATTGAAAACTATTTCACATCCAGTGGCAGCGAAAATATTATCAACCATCTCGTTAGCCTGCACTAACACAAACGAAAGACAAAATTTACACGTGTTTTAAAATTAAAAAGATGGATCAAGAACCAGTAATGTTATAATATTAAATCAAGCGTTATTATAGAATGTACTTTTAACAAAAAAAATCAGAAGGATTATGAATTATCAATGCAATTATAGCAAGTTCTCTGATTGAAATTTCTACTGTTGTACGCAGAAGCAAGCGTCTTTTTCTGTCGTCTTAAATATTCCAATATCATCCATGTCTGATTCCCTGACCAAATTCATAAGTGCAAAATTAAGCAAAATTGTGTTTATTATACTATTTTTATTTGATTTTATTTATTTTTTAATTCGATTGCAGCTAAATAAAAGCTCGATTATTTTTCTTTGTCTGAAATTTCGAGTGCGTCATTGGAAGTGAAGCAGCTCCGGCGCCCTAATATTTGCGGTTGTTGACACACGTCGCAGCGGCGCTAGCACAAACGTCCGCACTTTGTTTAGCTTGCTGACGAACTTAGCCCTTACCCTGCCTAGCTCCAAACAATTGGTGATCTCATGACTCTCTTCTTCTCATGCGAGGCACAACAGCGAAATTCTCCTGAGAATTTCTTGCAATTTATTGCGGGAAATGTCTTATCGGATACGCAATTCAAGGCACACAAAATAAATCTAGTGATGATCTGTATGACAAATCTATTTGTCTGTGTATGAAAAACCTATTTAAGGCTTCAGGAACAAATTATTGAGCTGTGGAACGGTAAAATGTTGGTCATGATTTAAAAACGCAAATCGTGTTATTTATGTGATAAATTTCCCTCTTTTGATTGAAATTAACAAAAAGGTCGTTCCCTCAGGTTACGGACCACGGCAGTTCAACAGAAAAGAGAGTAAGTATAGATGTTTACAAACTTCTTTGATGATTGTCCTAACTGTTGAATAAAGTGAGCTCAATTGGACGCAGGAGGGAAACTTTGGTTTGTATGTGTCACAAATGTGCAGTATTTTTAGTGCATTACCTCACCGCAATTGCTACGTTGTCTGTGTTGTACAAGTCTCTTCGCCAACTAAGGCTTTTTGGTCGCTGGACCAGAGGAAATTATTTCAGCTCATCTCTTTAATTTATTAATTATTACCTTAATTGTAAGCCATTGCAGGAAAATTTACGCATGAGTGTTTCGGCATAAATATATTATGATGCAGGCTGTGATTGAGGAAATGCTTACACTAATGCCGCTTCACCTTTTATTTGTTTTTGAAAACACAAGTCGACCTTTCATGACATCACGCTGAACGTTATTCGACCTTTTCGCCATTTTTTTCATTTAATCAAACAGTGGAGAACTATGCTGCTTGAAATTCTTCCAAAAGAATAGGTGAATACGAGATATTTAGTAAATCAAATAAGTAAGCAAAACCCGTAGATTTCCCCCGCGTCAGTCCAATCAATTTATAAAAAAAAAATAATTTGTTTATCTTTTGTTCAAATCAATGGTTGATCTGATTGTCGTAAGCCTCGTGTATAGCATGGCGTAGATTCACATGGTCGGAGCGTATATCGTAGTATTACAGGGATAATTATCCTCAGGATCTATCCTCAGAAGGTATCCTAAAAATCTACCTATCTTCAGGATGCATCTTCGAGATCTGAATATCCTAAAAATATATATCGTCAAGTTCTGTATTCCCAAGTTCAGTATCCTTAAGTTCTGTATCCTCAAGTTCTGTATTCTCAAGTTCTGTATCTTCAAGTTCTGTATCCTCAAGTTCTGTATCCTCAAGTTCTGTATCCTCAAGTTCTGTATCCATAAGTTCTGTATCCTCAAGTCATGTATCATCAAGTTCTGCATCCTCAAGTTCTGTATCCTCAAGTTTTGTATCCTCAAGTTCTGTATTCTCAAGTTCTGTATCCTCAAGTTCTGCATCCTCAAGTTCTGTATCCTCAAGTTTTGTATCCTCAAGTTCTGTATTCTCAAGTTCTGTATCCTCAAGTTCTGTATCCTCAAGTTCTGTATCCATAAGTTCTGTATCCTCAAGTTCTGTATCCTCAAGTTTTGTTTCCTCAAGTTCTGTATTCTCAAGTTCTGTATCCTCAAGTTCTGTATCCTCAAGTTCTGTATCCTCAAGTTCTGCATCCTCAAGTTCTGTATCCTCAAGTTTTGTATCCTCAAGTTCTGTATTCTCAAGTTCTGTATCCTCAAGTTCTGTATCCTCAAGTTCTGTATCCTCAAGTTCTGTATCCTCAAGTTCTGTATCCTCAAGTTCTGTATCCTCAAGTTCTGTATCCTAATGTTCTGTATCCTCAAGTTCTGTATCCTAAAGTTCTGTATCCTCAATTTCTGTATCCTCAAGATCTGTTTCCTTAAGTTCTGTAGCCTCAAGATCTGTATATCCTCAGGATCTATCCTCAGAATATTTACATCCTGAACCTGAGCCTAATTGGGTCAACACAAGTTTTTTTTTTACCAGCATTTTTATGTATTAGGAGTTCTGATGATTATTTGAATGAATAACTAATTTGAATGAATTACCTAACTCATTTTATTATAATGTTGGTTCGGAATTCATTAGCTTATTGAAGGCCATTTTCCCCACAGGTTTGAATGTCTTTAAACTCAACCAAATCTTCTCTAATAAAGACAGTCTTAAGCCTCATTATTATTTTGTTCGCATAGCACACAAGGTCTATAAAAACAAAGGGAAACTTAATTGTCGTTTCCGCCCCGTAATTGTCATCATCTACACTGAATTTAAGGCAAATTTTTATATTTCAAGGTAATACTAACCCTCATTACAATTGTGTGTACAAATTAATAAATTCAGAAAACACAATATAATGTAGGCTACATATTGTAATGCAGGCAACAGATGAAGTAGGCAACATATTCTATTGCAGGTAAAAAATGTAGGTAACGTATTCTACTGCAGGCAACAGAAAATGTTGGCGAAATGATAATAAAATGTAGGCAACATATACGGAACGTACTAGAGTTGAGCCAACCTTTATATCATAGATAGTAAATAGTTTGACCTAACTTGGGCTAAAGAAATTAGACTTAGATACGTTCCACATTTTTCAAATTCTTTCAAATATGTTCAACTTTGAACCGAACCTTTACTTCTTAGATAATAAATATGATAGTTTAACTTAACTTTGGCCAAAAAAATATACTAAAATATATTCAACATTTTCAGGCACGGAATACCCAGATTTTGAACCAAACCTTATGTTCGTATATTGTAATTGTGATAGTTTGACCTAACTTGGGCTAAAAATTAATATGCGTTTTAAAATTACTTTTTAAAGACAACACTTTTATAGAATCCAGTGTCTTTGATGTTACACATGTACAATGAATTTCTAATTTTATTTTAAAACAATAAAAAAATAATTTTCAAATTTTTTTAATGTATAAAAATTTTGTAAATTTTCACAATTATTTTTTCTGTCAACTGATTCATGCATTGTCTCTAACTTTATGCAAGTGTGCAAATTTTCAGTCGATCGGACAGGTAAAAGTGTGTCAAATATGGATTATAAGATTTGTAACAGACAAAATTATTTTTACTTTTTTCTAATATTGAATAATATGCGTTTAAAAATTACTTTTTAAAGACAACACTTTTAAAGAATGCAGTGTCTCCTATGTTACACATCTACAATGAATTTCTAATTTTATTTCCATATATTAATATAAATTAATTTTTTAATTTTAATAATATTATTATATTTAAAAAATTAAATTTTTGAAATTATTTTTTCTGTCAATTGATTTTTAAATTGACTTGAAGTGAAGTGTTCTAAAAATTAGACTACATATGTTCAATATTTTCAGGCACGGAATATCCCGAATTTTAACCAAACCTTTTGTTCGTAGATAGTAAATATGATATTTTGACCTAACTTGTGCTTTAAAATTATACTAAAATATGTTCAATAATTGCAGGCATGTATTGCCCCGAATTTGAACCAAACCTTTTGTTCGTTGATAGTAAATATGATAGTTTGGTTTAACTTGGGCTATAAATATTGTAATAAAATATGTTGAACAATTTCAGGCATGGAAAGCCCCGAATTTGAACCAAACCTCTTGTTCGTAGATATAAAATAGGATAGTTTAACCTAACTTGGGCTATAAATATTAGACTAAAATATGTTGAACAATTTCAGGCATGGAGTGCCCCGACTTCGAGCCGTTCCGGTGCCCTCACGGCAACGGCTGCATCAGCATCCAGTACCTCTGCGACGGCGCACCAGACTGCCCTGGTGGGCACGACGAGAAGACGACTCTCTGCACTGCTGGTGCGACTCCTTTGACAACACTCGGAGAAATAAGCGAGAATAGCATTTTGAATAGCAGAGAAATATATATTCTTATAATTATAATTAATTAATATAATTTGAATTGCAGAGAATAGCAATAGCAGAGAAATAAGCGGGTTAAGCATTTTGTAGAAATCCGAAAAACAACCAATTTAACCGTTGAATTGGAGAACACGTTGAAAAAAGTTTATTATTATGCCCTAGTCTAAATGATTTTGTCATATTTTTACGGTGGTTATTGTTGATTTTGTTTCTTTTTTTGCACGGTGTTTTTGCATTTTTAGTATTATTTATGCTCGTCTTGGCTGTTATTGTTTCAGAAGAAATTGAGCAATAGCGCTAAAATTGCACATTTTAATTTTCCATCGTTAATTTTGTCAATTAGTTCCAGTAGCAGTTCAATTGTGATTATTTGGGCCCGTAATATCAAAAATAGTACATCGACCGCTCAATGCACTTATGCCGCTACGCTTGGGTCGCAACATGTACTCGGGCCGTTACATGTACTTAAGCGAGTTTTGTTAGTGCGGCCCTTGATTAGCTATAATCTTTTCAAGTAGCATTTGTGACCAATTTTGTGCATTGCAGCCAAGCGCCCGCCGGTGGAAGAGACCGCCTCGTTCTTGAACAGCCTGTTGGCCTCGCATGGGCCAAACTACCTCGAGAAACTCTTCGGCGTCAAGGCGCGTAATGCGCTCAAGAAGATGGGTGGCGTCCGCAACGTGGCAATCGCACTATCTCGTGAGTGAGAGGATCTTTGATGATCCGTGACAAGCATCAAAGGTCCCCAACGGGGTACGAGTTGGCCCCTCTGACGTTTCCCCATCTGTCAAAAACCGGCAATGCATCGACAAAGCTTTGCTGTGTTGAATCTTCATCATAATTAATGTCGCCTTCATCGTCGGCACGCGTCGCCTTAACATTCTTCTCATTTGCAAAATTATGCGTCTTAATTTTCATATTAAGTTTCCCATGGATGATCATCAGCCTTGGTATTTACAAAATTAGATATTAAGCAAACCTTTACCAATTCGTTTATATTTTTTCTTGAATTATATAACTGCGTCGCTAATAGTTCATTCACATAACTGTTTAATTCACTAATTTTACTGGCTATACAGAAATATTATTAAAATATTCACAATATTTTATCAATTAGCTACGCCAACAATAATCAAAATATAATTTCACGATTCACCAAGCAGTGGAGAGTAGCGTACTGACTTATCTTCGCGTTTCAGAATCACAGACCATCGATGAGTTCGGCCACACTCTGAGCCTGGAGAAGAACGACGTAGATCACCTGCGAAGCGTGTTCATGGCTGTCGAGAACGGCGACATCGGTCTGCTGAAGAGCCTCGGCATCAAAGACTCTGAGCTCGGAGACGTCAAGTTCTTCTTGGAGAAGCTTGTCAACACAGGCTTCCTTGACTAGATGTGGCTTGTCAACACAGGCTTCCTTGACTAGACGTGGCTTGTCAACACAGGCTTCCTTGACTAGACGAGGCTTGTACACACAGGCTTCCTTGACTAGGCGTATAATCCCCTGACGCCTTCCAATGAAAGTATATGATGACGATATCTAAGCTCTTTTTTGCATCGAAATTTCGTTTTGAGGTTCTGATTCATGGTATTGAGTTGTGCATTAGAGTAATATTTAACTTGTATTGCTTGCGGATTCGAAAAGATTTTTGTGCTAACGTAAACCACAACCGTAGTAGCGGATGGCTTATAAAGTTTCAAATAATTGAAAATTTTTGTAACTTAGTTGGTGAAAAGTTAAATCCTTAAACATTAGCACTCGTAACATGAAGTGAGATTGTATTTACTACTGATTTAATACCAAGCATTACATTCACCTAAAGTTTTAACCCATATCGTAGTTAGAATTGAATGGCCTTCTGTTTCATTATCCTATACTTTAATATTTGATTTCCATACAAATTCTGGTGAAGCTCTCTCTGAATTGAGTCAAATATTTTATTTTAAATTTATGGTATTTTTTTGCTATGTTTGTCATTGGGAGATCAACATGACATGAAATTAATAACGTCATTTTTGTATTTAACGAACGAAAATACAATTGAGAAGTATTCAAATTTAAGAGTGGCTGTCACTTTTTGAAGGATGAATTAGAAATTTAGTGAGGCATGCTTTATAAAACCAATATGCAGGAAAATTTTATTTCAAATGTTTTGAAATTTTTAGTAAAATTCAATTTCCCATTTGAAACCACCTCTAACCATGTTGTCTGAATCACAGATTAAATTTGTCGTTACAAGAAATTTTATTCTCTCATAAATGCTCCGTATTCTTACCTAAGTCCCAAATAGAGAGGTTATGAGTTCACACCAGTTCGAATGATTTAGATATTAGAACGAATATTTTCAAGCTGGCTCTGTGCTGGTTAAATAGTTTTATGAAAATAATTCATGTTTTTTTGCACTTATTTCTTAGCCTTGGGCACAATTCTTGCCAAGCAATGCACAAACTCCACATTGTCTCTTTAGATTTCAAGTGACATTTTAGAATTGGTGTCACCTGTTGATGTTTTAGCTGAGATAACTGTAGCGGTCATGGCAGATTGCATGCCCAGTCTTGGTGGATTTCTTTCTAGATGTTCTAGTCACTAGAATACGGCTAGCACTTTAGCAGCATGCTAGTCGTTTCTATTGAATTTTATTAGTGTTTTAATGTCGGCCATCCTTTTCATCAAGCCTATTGCAGCCTTTAGTGGCTGTGAACGTTCAATTTTAGAACTTTGATTTTTGCTCCTACACTTCCTCTAGTACACGTTAATATTGCATCTAATCTTACTTTCCTACTGCACATTATCTACATCCTTAGCTTATATGAATGAAAAACTCAAATTTAACCTGTTAAATCAAACCGGAATGATCTAATTTGTTTTGATTTGCTAAAAATATGGATGGGAGTAAATGAACTGAAAATAACTATAATAATTATCATAATATTACTAAGAGTATTAAAAAATTTCTATACATCAAGATAATCCATTGAACTAAGTTATTTTGGTCTCGCCTTAAACGAAAAGTAAATTGAATTTAACTTGACTTATGACCTGTATTTGATTGGAAACTTTTCCATACACAACCAAAACATCAAAAAATGGCTCCGGCTTTGTACATGTTAACTTAATTTTCTTCCAAGCAACTTAATTTCATTTCAAGCGATTTAATTTTCTTTCAAGTTGTTTTTCTTTCAAGCGATTTAATTTTCTTTCGAAAGATTTAATTTTCTTTCAAGCGATTTAATTTTCTTTCAAGTTGTTCAATTTTCTTTCGAGCGATTTAATTTTCTCTCAATCGACTTAATTTTCTTGTAAGCAATTGTCCGAAATTTCCCATTCAGAAATTCCGTCTTACTGTTTATGCTTGATTTTAATTAGCGTTTACGGAAATGATTTTTTCTGTTGTTGTGCAAGTCTTAGTTTATGTTTCTCTTAATTCAGAAATAGACATTATGTGACATTTTATTTCTAAGCTCATGCGTACAAGATTATTACAGTTTAATTACGACGTCTTTTTACACTGCATGATTTTTGATGCGATCGCAGGAAATGCATAATCATTAACAAACATTTGTATTTGCCGTGGATAACTGTGCATTTATTTCGTAATTATAATAGTATCAAGTTTATACTCAGAATTTTACCGGAAACGTCGTGTAGAAATAAATACTCACTATATCGATATTACGGTGTGTCGCTGTCGACATCAGACACTGTCGCCAATGTGATCGTCGTTGAGTGCACACTCTTCATCCACCGCACAATGATCCGGAGAGATATTATAGTGTCTTGTGTTATGGAGTGTGCTATTAAGCCCGCATTTATAACTTCACATAAATCTCTATCTTTAAAATAGTTTACTTTTCAAGGTCTTTGTAGATACCACATTCGTTCGTAAAGCCGTTGCATAATATATTACATTAATTACACCTATAAAGTAGCATATTTTACCGCAAACACGTCATTTGCAAGGAATGAGCCTTCGAATATATCAGTTATAGAAAGTCTTCGACGCTTATAGTCGTGGAAAAGTGTGAACTGGAACCACAGAAACGAGTCGCATTAGCTAACACTTTGTTGGTTCGAAATCTTGGTGTGATGAATTTTCCGAAAGTATTAGTTTTAGTTTTAAACTATTGGCGGAATTTATATAATCGAGGAATTAAAAATTTATTATTCAAGCACGAGTTGTTGTGGAAGAGAACTCATATAGGCTAGTAATAGATCGTTGATGGATATAATATGCGTCTCGGTTGTTATCGGAGCTTTTGGTAGATTTTGTGAGATATTAGAGTTAGAACTGTGTAGTCATCGTTCTTATCAAACTACCTAAATACTGATGATATCCCCATATTGTGATCTGAACCTTATAACAGAACCCAGTTTAAGACCCCATTTTTAGAGATATATGATTATTGTTGGTCTTTTGTAGCCCAACCATTGTTGTTGCTTACGAATGTTGAAAGTCTTCTGATTTGCTGAGTTTGCAGAGAAAAGTAATGAAAATAGCTGCCCTACTCAACAATACAACAATTACTTAAATTTACGCCAACAAATACTAAAATTTGTGGAAATTTTTTGGGGGAAGAGGCATGCTTTCATAAACTAAATAACCTAATTAACTGCTTGCTTGCAAACGAATCAACTCATCTTCGGAAAAATTTAGTAGCAGTAATTTATACTCTAGTATAATTATTTACCAAGTTAAAAATTACCAGATGGATAGCTACTGACTGAATGGATTTCGTGACTCTTCGTCGACGTAGTTACCGTAAAACTGCCTAAATTTGGCCACTGTTAAATTCTTTCTGAAGCCACGCGTTTAATGATTTATTTGGTACAAGTCGGTCAAAACAAGCACCTTATTTATCAGAGATAAAGCAAAACTAATAATTTTTCGTTAATCTCCATCAATTATCTAAGTTTAAAATGGCAAAATATGAGTCGAATCAAGCCGGACGCTACATTGACGCAAATGATGCCATAGCAGATAAATGGAATTGCGGAATACAAATTTCCTTTAGTGAAAAATATTATATTCAAGGTCTTGCGACATCATAATGGAAGAAAAAATAAGCGAAATCGGTATTTTCTAATGGTAAATTGAGAGAAATGAAGCGAGGAAATCTAGATCGATCTAGAAATTTTTGAGCTAATATGATCAGTGTATAGTCATTTAACAGGCGTTAAAATACTTATAAATCCAAAAAAATTGTAGCGCAGTTACAAGTTGGTAAAACAAGAAAGTCTGTGACGTAATAAAAAAAAAATTAAAAACAACATAACAAGTTGTATTCGCTGTCTGAGTGATTTAATTGTATTAAATCACTCAGACAACGAATTATTTTATTAAATATTTTTATTTTGTTTAATCTTTTATTTTATTAAATCACTATTAATCTTTAATTGTATACCAGAAATTATATGCCACGTGAAGATCGTTGTAAGGTTAAAAAAAATACTATCCAAAAGCGGAAGAATGCCACTGGGCGACAAATTTCTATATGGTGGCCTGAGTTGGGTGGTTTGACGGTAATGTTGAAGCTAATTAAAGTTTTTCTTATTTACATAAACATTAGATCAACATATTATATGTTTGGAAATGATTGCGGAAATGATAACGCAGATGTAGGGAAATGACTGGTTTTAAACTATTTTGAATGTTTATTATTGTGTCGAATAAAGTCGTTCCATTTCAATGTAGCAGTTTTTGTCCTTATATCGATTTTATTTGAAGAAGAAAATTCACATTCATACCCCATTAAAATTTATACAAGTTTCATTGGTGACCAGTGAATGTTTTTATAAATGATTTCATATTGCTCGTTTTCTCAATGAATTGAACGAAATTTCTTGCAGGCGTATACAAAACAAAAAGCAGGTTCCCAAAAAATATTTTGATAGATTGCGATGCTTCGAATATGCAATATTCATTATCACTTATGCAATTATAATGAATAATCAATAATAATAATATAATCACTCAATGCGCTTTTTAACTTGATAATGAATGATAGAAACATTCGAAACGTCGTTAACGAAATAAATATTGCGAATAAAACGAATAAATGCGCGTTAAATTGCGAATATTGCGTTAAATTGAATTTCGAATATTATTTCGTTAAATTGCGAATATTGCGTTAACGAATAAAACAAATTCTCTGGTCTTCAATGAAACCTTGTAATGAATATTGCATATTCGTATTGCTATTGTAGAGTATTTCAAGATTTTCATTAAATTTCAGGAGTATTGCAACACTTGAAATTGAAATTTAGGAAGGACGATGGTCCAAATGGAAGTTAGGTTTTGGATACGGTATTTAAATACTGATTACAAATATTTAATTTTAACGCTGTATCCCCAATACCCTTTATTTGTTCTTAATCTGTATTGCCACGATTGATATATTTTAAAATCCTTCTTTATCACGTGAGTAGCATATGCTTAATGGATGCCTCACGCGACGAGTGTGTAAAGAATTAGCGCTCCTGAGTCAGGAGTTTGGGGTATGGAGCTAGACGATATATTGGTAGGCCTAGGCAGAGGCCTCTCCATCATTATAATGAGGTCATAAACTGTGAGGATGCCTGCACTGCATCGCTCCCAACACCGATCCCACCGAAGACCGTGTCAAGCGCAAAGCAAACGCCGCTGACCGGCCTTGAAAAACCGAGACCTAAGACCGCATTTCAAGACCGATGTTTCCCAGATCATGCAGTTCCACCGGAGTCTTTTTTCATGTTATAGTATCATTAAGTATATATATATAATAGATGAAAATCCCTATTTATCACTATTTCGAGCAACACAAAGAACTTTTGATATGTTTATTATCAATCCAACGATGCATAAAAGAGCAAAATTTCTATTGCATTTTTCAATCTACGGCATTTCCAGCCAAATAATTAAACTATTACTTCTATTCATATGACGCCGCCAGAACGAATATTTCGGAGTGGCTTGAAAATAATTTAATTTGGAACAAATGTTTTCACAAATGACCAACACAGAACCGGCAGTATTTGCCAAACAATAAAGAATAAACAAAATGGGCGCGTATCTGCCTAACGGCGCTCGAAAACAAAGTCAGCCGGACGCACGTGATACCCGTGATGAAATATTTGCATCCACAGCATCGGTATAATTTAATCATAAATGTCTCATCCATTTGCATAGAATTTTGATCATTACCCTCGTAAGGCCGGGAATTTGAACTTTTTAAATTTACTCCTTCAAATACGAACGAAAGCCAATCCTATCCATGTCTTTTACATCCTCATCCCGCCGCTGCATGAGCATGATTGAGCTACGCATGTTTGTGTCGCTTCATGCATGGGCAGAGGGACAGGGATTTCAATTTTTTCATTAAAGTTCGACCTGTTATAGTCGAAGAGAGAAGCAACATGACACGTCATAATAGTGGCTATTATTGTAATAATAATGGATGACTTGAACGCATTATTATCTAGTGTACAACGAATGTATGTGTATCAATTTAAAACATTTCTATGAGGTGTACGACGACATACGCGCCTAATATGAATACGTTTCCATCAGGTATACGACGAATGAACGGTACGTCTCGATCAAATTCTTTTCGATCAAAATTTCAACTTCATGAGCCGCTGTTGAATTTATTATCATCAGAAATACAATTGTGCTTGGCTCCATTGAGTACATTTAAAAAAAAAAATAACTGTGCGTTCCTCCATTACACTTCTAACACATATACAACTGCACGTGTCTCGATTGAACTCATTTCTTTCATTTAAGGATGACATCAAAGCGATAATGATTAAACCGAATAACAGAAAGTCAAAGGACCAGTGGGAGGAAAGAAGCACACTGAGTTCAATATTAAACTAATACGATCATCTTAATTAACAATGAAATCCTCGAAGATGATATGCAAGTTCGCACGTTCCTACTACACGACTGCGCGTCATCTAGGTTAGGAAACTATAGAGTTCGGAGCGCAGGAGCAAATTTGGATGCTAATTTTGATTAAATTAAACTCAATTGAAAGATAATTGGACGCTGATTATAATTTGATTAACACACAGAGCCCTAGACCAGCGTATTGATGCCAGTGCAGACAAGTCAGGGATCTGAAACTGAAGCCAAGCATGCGCCGGGCAACGTACGCGCCCCCCGCTCTCGCTGGGGAGCAGCAGCGAAGACAGCTGCAGTGGGAACAAACATCGCGATAAACGCCACGGGACAGAGCTTACATGATGGTATTTTTGTGAGGCATAGCCAATCTTGGATATCGTATAGAATATCGTTTACTTCATTCTTGGATATCGTATAGAATATCGTTTACTTCATTCTTGGATATCGTATAGAATGCGTATACTTCATTCTTGGATATCGTATAGAATATCGAATACTTCATTCTTGGATAGCGTATAGAATATCGTTTACTTCGTTCTTGGATATATCGTATAGAATATCGTATGCATCATTCTTGGATAGCGTATAGAATATCGTATACTTCATTCTTGGATATCGTATAGATTATAGAATATCGAATACTTCATTCTTGGATATCGTATAGATTATAGAATATCGTATACTTCATTCTTGGATATCGTATAGATTATAGAATATCTAAGAATACTTCATTCTTAGATATCGTATAGAATATCGTATACTTCATTCTTAGATATCGTATAGAATATCGTATACTTCATTCTATAATATCTTATAGAATTTAGTTTAAAATCGGAGAGAAATTCACCATTCTGCTTATGCCCTTCAATTAATCTATCTTTAAATTATCATCGTTAAACCGTTGCGTGATACAAATTATTCATATTTTTCAAATTAATCATGGACTAGAATTCAAAGGAGCAACAATAGCACCTCGCAAAATGCGAAGACGATTGACTTAAAATGGCCGCTCGCACGCCATAATAGTTATTATAAGAATCCCTTCTCTTCATTAACGTCTCTTGTTTGAAGTTCCTCTACAGACGGGAACATGACATGCCTGACGGCGCTAAGGCACCATTGTTCTTGAAGGGCTTGTGCGTTACACTGAAGAAGAACAAAGAAAATTTACCAGAAACTTGCCAAGTTTTAGGCCTGCAAAATCCGAGGCCGTCAGAGCGTAAGAAAATCTCCGAAAACTTCGCTCGGAAACTTGAAGTTATGATTGCGTCCTTTGAGAGGATATAAAGACCAAAAGACGAATTGAATTTTTGACCAGCAAATTAATCCCAGCAAAGTTATATCGGATATTTTCTATGAAGTTACGAAAATATTTATTATGAGTTCATCATGAATGCAGCACCCAGAACAAAAATTACCACGATTAAAATTTGTTATTTTGTGTACAGCTAGCGTCTGATGCTAGAAACGAATATTGCAGAGAAATTCCATGGCTACTTTAAAACTACATCCTTACGACCGACATGAAACTTCTGTTGAGCTCCTGCATGCATTTTTGCTGAATATTATATTCCATCCATCAGACAATGCGAAATGTCAGTTTACTGTTGACGACTCTCTTTCTACTTTTAATTATCAACGTTAAATATTTCACAGAAGTAGAAAGCAAGGCATCCTAACATCCAGGTACTTCAATTATTTCATTCACTAATCCGGGGTCAGCGTAAATAGTTTGTTGCTGCTGGGATACAAAACTAAACAAACTCACTTATGGGAACAGATTTTAGATCGAATACATTAAACCCGCAGGCAGGCATAAGTGATTTGAGTCTAAGTTTTGGTCGTATACGCTGCAGTGAGGCGACCCCAGAAAATCCTCCCTAGTCGAGCTATCCGAACTTCTTCGTCTTGAGCGCCTATGACTAATAACGCTTCCAAGTTTTCCCTAAACCAATTTGGCAGTCTCGAAATTTGAACGCCTACACGACCATTTCACATTATTCATAAACCTCTTACGTGAATTTTTCTTCAACTTGTTAGTGTTCGGTTGCAATCTATGCCTGTCAAGTCAACTTTATCTGGTCAAATAACTCCGTCCAGCATTCCCGAACGTTTTTAAATCTTCTGGAACCGGTGCCAACTCCCTTCTCAGAATTCTGTCCTCCAATCAATGTCTCTCAGTAAACAATTCCAATCGACCATTTATCGACGTAAGAGACTCGCCCATCACTGTTGACTCGTGGCCATGCCGATGGAAAGTTCACCCCCCCCACCCTATGGTTCTTTACGAAAGAGGCAATGCGCTCACATCCTGATACCCACTTCATCGTAGTCAGGCTACCGATACCAGAAGGTTTTTTACCATTATCGAATCTATGAAGCTAGTAGCGCTCTTTAAAATACTCTAGCTGAAATTTGTAGTGTCAGACAATTCGGCTTACGCAAGGCACAGAAACGCTACGTAGTCTGGATATTCTTTATTAAGAAAATTGTCTTTGTTTTTCTAACGATCACCCGGGATTCATCACGTCTTTGATGCAGTTTCCTCTTCATTTTGATAATAGCTAAATTTTACTGCGGTACCCAAACAGGTTCGCCATGAACGCCGCCCATCTTTCCGACACGTGCGTCACGTAGTCTACGGAGTTCACGTAGAAGCAATTTCTGTACGTGTCCCAGTCTGGTGGACACTTGTGGTGGGCCTTCTTGGAAGCACCGGCAACCAGTTTCAAAAAATCTTTCCCCAGAGTGTCGGCACTTCTTCCCTCGGGGAAGAAGGTCACGCTGGGCTCGTCTTCTACCTGAATAACATAGTGAAGCAATCTTTAAATTCCAACTGACATCAGCAGAAAGTTGTCTACACGGAACAGTTATACTTCTATTTAAATTAAAATAATTAACTTCTCGGTATCTGAAACTTTAGCCTTCGGGCTAAGGAGCTGAATGAAGAATTCAGGATCAGAATAAATTGACCCCCCTTTCCGTTTTTGAACACAGACTAAATCGTGAACATGTCTTCTCGTCCATAGAAATGGAATGAGCATGTGGAATACGAGATTCAATTTGGGATTTAAAATTCGTATCCAAGCTAGCTTGCTATATAGACAGATCGACTAGATTTTATGCATACTTTACCCCCAAGGTGCGAAGAAGACTCTCGGTGGCGTTAGGTGCCAAGAAGTAAGCCACATTCAAGGCTAACTCCAATGCTTCATCTAAGATCTGCGTTTGGAGACGAGAGACGAGGAGCCTTAGCGTATGCAAGTGGCAGCAATGCGACAATTGACACATCAAAACCAGACTATCAAGCTTCCTGTTACCGCGCATTAGGAACTTCTTACGAATGTCAATTAAGGTCATCGTGTTCTAGGCCGAAGTCGCTAAGGTTTTCATAGGCTCTACTCGATAATTACAGGAATTTACAAAGTGCGGTGGTCTTACCTGACTCACATTGGTCAGCATGTTCTGAGTGTACTGGATAAGCCCATCCTGCATGGAAATGGCGGGCGCTGAAGTGGATCTGCCCTCGGGACCTTTTCGGTTTCCTTGTAAATTGGGTAAAAGCGTAGTTACTAGATTCTGTGTGAAATTACTGAAGTCCGTCGAGTTAAGGATCTTTGTGAAGTTCTTGAAAACCCTTTCTGCATGCTCGGGATCTGCACTCGGCAGAGATAATCTGGTGCCGTAGAAGTTGACTTTTGGCCCATCAGTTTGAGGAGCGGATGGTTGCGAGGGAACAGATGGAGGAGCGTGCCAAGCGTCTTGTTCGACGTGTGAATGTATGTCTTGAGCGCGTGCGCTGAGCAAGAGTACAGCCAAGGCAAGCATCGATCTAGGTAAAAATCGGAGCATTTTCAATTTTACAGATAGAAAGCTACATGCATCAACACTTTAAAAATCTAATGCAACCAATTCGGCAGTGACTAAGTATGCGCGAGAATGGTCGGACACACTTACCTTACAAGTCTAATATCAACAGCAGGCGAACCCATTAGGCCACGGACCGAGAAGGTCAGGAAGCCACTTCATATATATTTTATATTAATCAATTCTGTCATAGAGCCTGGCAATAGCCATTTAAAAACTAACGGTGATGACTCACCGTCCAACCCACATGTTCATGTGCAGCCTGCAAGCCCAGGATAATACTAGCTCACCAGTTACTCTATAGCAGACCTGGAATAGATAATTGCAATTCAAACTAAGACACTAGCAGTAACACGAGATGTAAACCCTAAATGAAAAGCCCAGCGGTCGCGATGACAGACCGGAATATCAAGAGGTGATAAATTGGAAACGTCAAAACCAACAAGTGTATCTTCATTTCCCTAGTGCGTGGTAGGTTGAACTTCACACCGGTAAGCACTTAATCCACCACACCACATTGATAGGTGCAACTGTTCCGCCCGACAGAAACTACTGCCGCTCAGACCTGTTGGAGGTCGAACACAAGCTTAACTAGGACGCCCGGAAAAAGTGTTCCATAAATAGACTATATTTACACGGAACAGGAATGGCTAATAAGTTATTACAGCTGTACTGTGATATAGATTTAATTTTATACTGCAAGCGTTCATTCATATTGTACTGTCCTCCCTAGATGCACTTTCAACGGCCGCTCATCTTCAAGAGGTAAACGTGTAAAATCAAAGTTTACAGGAGGCAATTATCAATTCCGCCTTCATCACAACTGCTGCACGTAAGAAACATAAAATAGGAAGTATCAAAGGAATTCGGTTTCGAACTACGTAAGGGTATCTTGTTTCTCTTATGCTTTTTCTCAGTACATCGGAAATTTGTGCTAGGTGTTCACTAAAGTTTATTCCTGTCCTGTTAGAATATTCATTTAATTTGATTTCACACTAATCATAAAACTAACTGGAATAGAAATTTCTTTATAACACTGTATTGTGGCTTTGAAATTAAATAATATTAGTTATTTTAAATCAAGCATTCACTTTTGTCGCTTGGGTCCCATTAACCACACATAAACTTTTTGGCTCGTCGACACTTTTCCAAACTAACAGCTCATAAATCTCTCAATTCTGAACGGGTCTACATAATATTTAGGGCATTAGTAAATATAAACAATACTCCACGATAGACATTGTTGAAGTTTTTTGCTATATTTCGTATTGTGATGAAAACTGAACTTAAAAAGTTAGACTAGGTTAGAGTAAGGTACGTTACGTTAGGAAAGCTTAATTAATTTGGATACGTTTGTTCATTATGATTAAATAATAAATCGCCTAACCTAATCATTCCCCTCTTCGCCTACTAACCTAATTTTACTAAGGTTTCGTTCGAATTAAAAAATGAATTTCACGGGAATCTAATAATTCTAATCGTGGCGCATTGCTAATAATTATTCATGCCCGGAATTTCATGCTGATCCGTTCAGAATTGTGGTTTATCAGCCGTTTAGTTGCTCAAAATTTTCGTTTTTACGTTTTAATCTAGAACGTAATGTCGAAAGAAATAATTTATAATTATCTTTTTTTGGCGCGGGTATTGCTGATAATTATTTCATGTTCTGAATTGCGTGCAGAGACGTTTAGAATTGTGAGAATAAGGGGGCGGTAGCGAAAAAGTTGCATTCCGCGTTTGAATCCGCGTGCTAGTTCGCGGGTTAGTTCTGAAAAGTATCGCTTCGGTAAACTTGTGCACTAAATATTCGAAGGAATACATACTAAACATAAAAAATTTAGTGTTAGGTTCAGTCTCAATGCCTTGGCATAATGCTTAACTAAAATAAACTATAGTCGCGCTCCTATATGCCAATTTAAATGAAAATAATCCTTCGTGATTCACAAGCAAGAGAGACCAGCTAGACAAAATTTTTTCTCTTAGAGTGCAGGGAAGAATCTAGAACCTTAACTTTGCCCTTATATCTCCTCGCGTATCACAGTATAGGTTCCGAATGAATCGGGCAACTAAGCAGTTCGTACGAAATTTAATTACCATCAGCCCATACGCTTCTCCAGCTAAAAACTTGGCAGAATAGCAAGTTCAATTTGTAAACAAGGATGCAAAAGAATATTTTAATGACATCGTACGCCAATGCGTTTAAAATTATACATTTAAAATTATATCGATTCGAAGTTGAAGTAGTTATGCAGGATCTGTTTTGATCGCAGCCTAACGAACTCCCAAGCAAACGAGCGCACTTCTGTGACTGGGTGGCTCACGCCACTTTCGTGGGTTTCAGTCACGCCAGAAACTCGTTCTCGATCTTCAAGAATGAGAATATATTTCATCTTTAAGCGATAGATGAACAATTCACTATAGTCAATATTCGCTAATAATATATCTATATCTTATCAGAGTTCAAAACTGACGATCCCCAAAGCGACACCGACCACTGGCTTTCTATGCCTAGAGACTATTTATCTATTGCCCACTTACGCGAATGTGTTGTCCAGTATCTCGTACTGGTCTTCGAATATTTTAATCAACGTGAAGAATAAACCACATTAGAAGTAAACTACCTTTCGCTTCTTTCAGGAATACAAGTTGCGCGCCACTCAATGTCAAATTTCACCCGCCCAACTAAGACTTTGACCTGCTATACCGGCCTGCCAAGCTTAGACGCCGTTCAAGCTGATGGCAATTTTTGAAAATCAATTGTTGTGCGCTAACGACCGGTTGCAATTCATTTGTCTTCCCGACTACGCGTATGTAGACACCCTTAGCCTCTTCGAGAAAGTAACACGGCGATGAAAGAAGGTTGGCACACTTGTCAGGAAACCTTACTTCCCAGTCAAGAGCCACGTTGGTTTCCACACGTCCTCTACAAACTCTCCGTAAATTCCCTACCAAAATTCTAGTGGTATAGAAAAAGTAATGGCAACTGTTGAAATTCCGACTCACAGCGATAATTCAATTTCTTTCACAGGTAGCTTGTTGAACAAAATCGTATTGTGCAAATTTTTATTTTAAAGCTGTTCTACATCGTTCAACTGATATTATCGTCCCATCATAGGAAGAAGCTGAATATGTTCGAGAAGGAACTTCCAGCAATCTTGATGGCGCAGGCCAACGTCTCGTTCGCTTGTCTAGGGCAGAAGAAACTGTTGGGCAGCTGCGACTTGCCGAACACTTTGTAGTAGGAGTCGCGGTTAGGCTGCCCAATAAAATAGAAACGGGTTATGGCTATGAAACAGACTTCTTATTCGCTTCACTCGCTGCATTGTCAAAGATCGAAGTGAATTTCAACCCGCTTAATTCAAGCATAAGCGGCAAGACTATTCAACAAAATTAAACTGGTTAAAAGTTTTCCGTGAGATGAATCCTGCATGGGAGAGGCACGGCATTCAAGTGACCAAAGTAGGAGGCTTGCAAACTTGCAGAAATGCACTGGACTTCAATGCTTCTCCAGTTTACTGGATTCTCTGAATGTGTCATTTAGTACACGAATTGACAATTGCTGCGTGCAGCATCGCGACGCTAGACTTCTCTTAGCCAAATTGTGTGAAGACATTCTATACACCAATATATGTGCATCGCTACACTGACTATGTCATGTCAATTTTTCTATGTGCAAGGTGGGCTTACCGTGTGGAATGCCCATTGGATGGCGGCCGCCGTCTGGTCAGGGAACAAATTGTAGGATTTTGTTGCCAGGTGCATTGCTTGGCTCTTCAAAAGCTAAGGGACAAAATTAAATCTTAGACGCCACATAACCATATGCATTCAAATCTACCGCAGACATGAGCTATTCTGCATAATCAATAGCTTGGAATCCCATATATTCATTGCATGGACAAATTATGGAGAATCTGTAACTACGATAATATTTTCTGGACTCTACTCACAGAGCCCCATTCTACGGCTGCGGCAACCTCTAGTAGCTTTGCCAGCTTCAGAGCTATGTACTTCGCAGCTTCGGTTTTGATGAGCAATTTCTTTTTGTTCAATTTCTTCTTCATTTCAGGCGATAGCTTGAAAGCCTCTGAAGGAATTAGAAAGTCTATTGAAGCCTGCAGGGTAGACTTAGACTCATCTGCGTCCTTCACAGCCGACGACAGTGTAGATTCCGTGGAGGGAAATAGGATCCAAAGGTAACATGCCAGGCTGTGGAGGAAGGTTAGTATTATATTATTGTAGTGACTTCAGTGGGTCTTCAGACAGGGCAAACGCAATATAAACTCAGACATTTTATTCACGCGTTTTGATCATTGAAATAACCTGGCATATATGCATAAACGTCTCTCCTCTGTATTGAAAAGTTCAGCAAGTCTGAGCGCTATCGTATAACTTAATATTTATGTAAAAACATAGGGCAGTTCAAGTGGAAATGACTTACAATGGTGGCATCTTTTAAACCCCGCACTATGGTGTACGAACTCACCAAATGAAGACCAATCTCGCCATTGTGACGTAGCGAATTACGGAATACGTACAATTGTATATTGATCACGCTTTAACAAAAGTTTCTGTGAAAAATCAAGACAGTCTGCACGAGAGCACAAACCAATATCACTGCATTCTATGCCCCTAACATTATTACTACCATCCCAGCCGCAGCCTTAGGGTGCTGAACAGAGTAGTCGTCTAGACCGTTTTCCCAAGAATAACTAGTACAAATATCAGGCAATTACACTTATGGTACGCGTGACACTAGCCAGGTCCTTCTAGATTTTATTCCACATCAGCAGACACCGTAGCCTAGCCTCTTATGAATAACGACAGATCTCGTACAAAAGACTAATATCAACACAAAGATTCGCTCTCTTGCCATTCACGCTGTGTTAGAAACGCAGATGGCACGTATTTTTAATACTGATTCCACCGTCGTCTGGCATCGAGGAGACCTTTTCTTTGTATGTCACGTGACAGTAGCGCGCTTTAATTGACTTGATTGCCTTGAGATGTCATGGCGATACCATCTTAGGCTAGGGGATGTAAATTTACTGTTGACTCATAAAATTATAAAATCATCAGTTTTAATAGTCGAAACTGAGCATGAGATAGGAAGATGCTCTGATGGATACAACAAATTTTCAAGCAAATTTTAATTTGGTTTGCATCCGTACATCAGTGATCAGTAATTAGTTGAGTATTACATATACTATATTATTAACCTTCATGATAACAATTTCTGTGTGTGCGAGGAAGTCACGAAATAGCAATACTTATTTTTGTATTTTTTGTTCACTTTAAATTCAAATTATGTTCCAAAGAATAAAGATCTCATATTAAATTAATAAGCATTATTCAACGGGATATTCGGACAGACATTGTTGAAACTTTATTATTTTTCACCAATTTTTATTGGTTTTAAAAAACGAAAAAAAAAAATTTGTCAAACTAAGGCCCGTATGCTAAATATAGGCACTAGCACTACGAAGTAGCACTACGCACTACAAGCCGTAGTGCCTACTAGTGCGGCATGGAACACTACGGTTGGTATGCTAAATAGGGCCAAAAGCATAACGCGCACTACAAAAATCTGAAATGTCCTACACACCGCACTTCACGACGACACTACGGTATATTTAACCTTGTTTACTTCGTCAACCATGGATCTGTTTGGCTTACAGCAAAGTCATCATCGCGTAAAAACCTCAGGAACTACATGCCATGAATATAAAAAAAAATAGTGTATCGCTTCAGTGAACAACATGTTATTCTTATGGCTGACATTTTCCTTGGCGAAACAGATAAACAGCGTAGAAGTAGAAAATACTTTTCTTGTTTTTGATACCATGTTTTGAATTTTCTTTTTTGTTTTTTTTTCTGGGGTCATTTTGAATTCTTGTGCAAGAACTTTCCATGCTTCTCTCTTTTGTTCGATGTCTTTGGGAAGCGTGGCCTTTGAATATATGATGAGAAAGGTGCGCAGACGCATTGTGAATTTCAGCTCACATCACAATTTTCACTAGTACCATTACCATCACAATTAGACATTCTACGTCAATCTTCTGCAAAGAATGAGAATTACTTAGGGAATAATTAATTATTTGAGCACTTAACTACCATTCTTCAATAGACTCATAGCGTAGTGCGGCACTATAAAGTACTCTAACAGCGAAGTAGCACTTCAAAGTCTTTCTGCATACGAATCAGTAGTGCGACACTAAGCGACACTAAACATTGTAGAGCTACTTCGAAGTGCTAAGTGTCTGTGACGTATTTGGCATACCAACAGGACACTTCGTAGTGCATAGTGCTACTTCGTAGTGCTAGTGCCCTATTTAGCATACGGGCCTAAATCCGGAAAAAGAAGCTCACGTTGGAAACAAATTATAAAATTGGTTCAAATTCTATTTGAACAAATTCGTTGAAATTTTAAATAAAGAAAACATGCTGTGGAAATTTATCATTTTATTTAGTGAAAGAAAATATTTGCAAAACTGCACTCAATACAATCTATAGTAACTATTACTGCTGTCCCTTATCATGTAATCCGCAATAAACGAAATCGAGTAGCGTTAATAACTGCAATTATAGCAATCATCACACCTCTCATCATAGTAATACGCAATAAACGAATTCTAGTTGCGTTTAATTTTCAAGTCATTAAAGGCGTTCGCTCAACACATCGCAATTTGATCGTAATGGCAGCGTCATCTCTGTGATGGCTACAGCTTCATTGTCATGCAGCCATCGCTGCCGCAGCCCTCCTGAGGACTTTTTTTATTGGCCACAAAATTCTCATGTGCCCAAGTAACTGTCCAATATCGGGACTGGTCATTACGGCTCAAGTTGACGTCTCTTATCCCAACGGGTCACCGCGACGTGAGTTAACGTCCCATATCCCGCCGGGTGACGAGGCTCAAGCTAACGTCCCATATCCCGTCGAGTGACGAGGCTCAAGTTAACGTCTCATATCCCGCCGGGTGACGCGGCTCAAGGTAACGTCCCATATACCGCCGGGTGACGTTAACGTCCCATATCCCGCCGGGTGACGTGGCTCAAGCTAACGTCCCATATCCCGTCGAGTGACGCGGCTCAAGTTAACGTCCCATATCCCGCCGGGTGACGTGGCTCAAGCTAACGTCCCATATCCCGTCGAGTGACGAGGCTCAAGCTAACGTCCCATATCCCGTCGAGTGACGCGGCTCAAGCTAACGTCCCATATCCCGCCGGGTGACGTGGCTCAAGTTAACGTCCCATATCCCGACGTGTACCGTTACATTTTTCCTTTCGTGTCAGAAAATAGAAAGCGTGTATATGACTCGCGCAGATGCGTTATCGCTAATAGAGTAAGTCTGAATGTGGAATGAGGTAATTACGATTGTCTGAAGTCATTGCATACATGTGCTTCGTCATTGACATTGCTAATGATTTAACAGAAGACAAAAAGTTATTAACTTCATTGCTCTTAGGTGGTAATTGTGTTTCGTAAAGAGCACGACACGTGATAAATTTTCAATATTGTGACCCATGAAATTATGGATTGCAACGTTTAATTCAAATAGCGTTTGTTGTTTGATGTATATCATTCAGTAGTTGCATACGCGCTTAATTATTCAGACACTTTACAACACAGGAGTGTGCTTATTCGACCGATAAAGGGATTAAGCAATTTCATGCGATTTTTTTTACCTAATGCGGGTATATAGAGACTTTCTTACTCCTTAACAGTCGACTCCTTCATAGGATATTTGTATTAAAACACCACCACACTCCAAACACACACAAATAGTGAAAAAATATGAAACCATTATCAACATCCTGATTCTGCATATTGAATATGATGAAAATTGAGATTCGATTTTTTTATTTTCATTTCATCGGTTTCAATTTTACAGGATTTTAAATAATTTTTTAATGTATTTTTATTCAGGGTTTAGAAAATTATAAATGGTTCTATTACCGACCTCTCACTTAAAGGGGATACATTAAACACGTGTTGTCGATCTGTACGCAGAAGCGACACAAATTCAAAGTTAGTATTGTCGTTATGATGAGGAAGTCCTGACATGATTGTTATTCAGGAAGGCACATCCAACCCCTAAGCATGCATTACTGACTAACTTTGGTCTGTTCATGCGAACCCAACATTTGGGCATCCCAAAAAAACGAACTTCGTAATGCATTCAAGTCCGTGAAAGTTGATTTCAAATTTGATCAGTTTTGATGTATGATATTGATGAAAAGAATTGTTGAAAATTAATTTCATTCTTTTAGATAAACACAATTTCAGCCATGACTTTGATTGGCGCAAAACAAATTAAAAATAAAATTAAAATAAAAAAATCGTGCATTTTCTGTTCACTTGATAATATGAAAAAAATTAACTTCATGTCACACGAAGCAAGAGGCGCAAGAATATCATTAACTAAATGAGTTTATTACGTCATCACCATAGCGCAGTCGAGATGTGATTCAAATTAAACAAGCTCGGCCGTACAGCAAAATCGTCGCAATTCAGCGAGCAAAAAAAACGGTTTCATTATCTTCGTTGAATTTCCATTTATTTTGGTGCCCAAAGAACGAAATCAGTAATTAAATAGCCTGGGCATCAAGGCTTGTCACAGTCTGCAATTAAACTCTGAATTTAGAGATTCTTGCAAATCTTCCCAACGCAATTCGTTGACCTCAAAGTTTAAAATAAATTGTTGTCTTTATTGATATTAAATAATTTACATTATTTCATTGAAAATGTACTATTCCAGGTGGTGTAATTCTCAATAAAAAGCTGTAACAGCGCGAGCACTTCGCGCTTGCGAGACGTGACTTAATTATTTTTCCTCGGTTATCGGCTGTTAATCTTCGCATTTTGAAGCCCTCAAACACATCTGTGTACCCAAAAATTTTTTTTAATACGGTCTAATAACTTAGATTTGTAATTTCTACTATATTCCAATGGTCATAGCGAAGATTCTTTACAACAATCACATAGGAACATCATTTTCATTATTAAACAAAATGAATTTAGAATTTTTCATAGGTTAAATAATCATTTAATAATATTATTATCAAATTTTCATCAATAATTAAAATGGATGAAAACTGCCAACTTTCCAATGCATAGAACTGACCAGGAAATGAATCTCATTTACCCTAGCCAATGCCTACCCCGCCCAACAAAATAGTTCCCTATAAAGGCGTACATGAGCAAGTTTTTGCAGTAGCTTTCTTCAAAGGTTCGCAAGAAACGTTCTCGACGTGATCAGCAGCGGCGCTGCCGTGCAAGCTTGTCGCTTTCAGGAGAAGAAAGTTCCTAGTCCCACCCCCAGCTATCCTTACTGAAGACTCTCACTCACCGGCTTTCCTTCTCTGGTCTTCTTCATTTTTTTTCGCCTGGAGCATGCATTGTGCTGTGTATAACTGTCGTTCTTCGAGGCTCATTCCGAACAACGCAGTCTATATTGGCCTCTACTTTCTCCGGTGCCCTTCTAAATTTGCTACTCAATACTATATAAAAGTCTTCTAAATAGGTCTGAAAATTTTCAATTCTAGTGGTTTATTGTAACTTTGAGGTGCAGAATTGAAGTTCCAATTTCCTTACTTCTAGAACATCTAGAATTCACAAACAGAGTCTCATGCTTATACTCATACTTCACACTTGAGCAAATCTTCCATATCTGTGCGCGCCATTATAGGGTTACTCTCAAATTAAATTCGGGCATTTTTGGCTTATTTTCTCATTTATGGAAAAAAATGCACTATTGTGCAAGCTATGTCCGTCTGTCCGTCCGTCTGTCTGTCTGTCCGTCCGTGACTTCACGTTTTCGTCGACGAGAAAATACGCTCTCTGACACTCACTGCAGTGAGTACTGAGTTATATTTTTTCTCTT